AGGAAGAGGAGAGGAGAAGGACTCACTCTATGAGGGCCTGTCGAGCATCCTGGCCCATTTTTTCAATTTCCTCGCTGCTGCGGCGGGGGCTCATTGTGCGCGCATCGCCGTCATCGTACTCTTCCTCCTCTTCCTTCATTTCGACATTTGGGCTGTCGCGGGGTATTATGATGGTGCCGCTCGACTTTCTGCTGCCGAGACGGGGCCTGGGCTGGAGGGTGGGGTCGACAGCCACATCCTTTTCGCTGACTGACGAGTTTGACGACGAGGTTGACATGGTGTCGGTCTGGCTGTGAGAGTGAGAGTGATGGTGGTGGTGGTAGGCGGGAGAGGCGTCGTTTGGCGTGCAAGGAGGCGGGTAGGAAGAGAGGGAAATGTGTGGGATCATTGCACGGGACGGTCGAAGTGCGGCTCTCGAGGTGTAGGTTTAGAGACGGAGACGGAGACGGGTGGGCGAGGACCGGCAAGAGGATGCCGTGGGTGGGTTCAAGCCAAGGCAGAGGCACACGGTCGCTGTGGAAGGATGCTAGAGTGGTGGAGCCCTGGTCAGGAGCTAAACCCGATGATGCTTCAGGGTCTCCCGAGACGACAATCCCTGCGATGGCAGCGGCCTGTCCACCTGGAGGCCGGGGGGTGCGGCGGCGGCAAAATGCTCAATGGCGGGCGGAGCACTAGCCCTTGATGACGGCACCCGCGCTCGTGACCGGGCGTGTCGCGCAGGCCTGGGGCAGAGACGGCGGCAGCGGCCTATGAATGTGTACCGTATCGACACTGAGGTTGCTTTGCTTTTTGATTGCTATCGACGATTCTCTGGCACAGCAGCAACCGTAGCACCACCAGCACCACCAGCAGCTTGTGTGGTGCGACGATCGGCAACTCTTGGACAAGGGCAGGGGCAGCGCACCCACCCCAAGGAGTCGGATGAGTTGAAGCGGTCAATTAGCGTATGAGATGGCGGAGCAGCTGTGGCCACGAGGGGGTAGGGGAGTGGTAAAGTGGGTGTGAGAGGGGATTGGGCAACGGGCAGTGGCCAGTGGTCAGTGTCCAGTGGCAGCAGCAGCAGGACGCATGTAAATATGGGCATGCGTGTAAAGTGCGACGGGGAGTACGTAGTGGTATAGTAATGGCATTAGCATGGTAGTAGGTGGAATGGGGCCCGACGAGGCTGGTGCGTGAGGCCGAGCGGTGGTGGTGACGGCAGGTGGGAGAGGGCAAGAAGGGCCATGACGTCGTCTGAGCCTTGCTGCTTGTGCACGACACGGCCGACATGGGCGACATGGGCGACATGGGCGACACCGATCAATTTCCCCTTGCGGCCGGCTGACATCACCACCGAACGCTGCCATGGGTTCCGCTAGCCGCCCAAACTCTGTCTGCCACCATGACGATTCTGTGTAGTCTAAGTAGTATAGATAAGTACATCGCTACATTGCTACATTGCTACTGCTGCTACTGCTACTGCATCCGGTACTGTGTGCTCGTTACATGGCACCGCACACAGAGCTGTACATACTATGTATACGGCACTGCACTGCACTGCACCCCACTGCACATGCCCACACAGCGTGCAGAGTGTCCTTTTCATCCACACCGGTTCCTCGCCCCGAGGCATTTGCGGGTCATTGTGGCCACGCGCACACTGCACAGCAACCATGATTGGCTTTGACCCGCTGATCTGCCATTGTTGACTTTGTGTTTCGTCGGCCATGCACGCCCAATCTCGACGTGTACAAGATCGGCTCTAGGACCCTGCGGCGGCCATTGTAAGAGCCTGCCACTTTTGCCCTTGATGGCATTCTCCCAAATCCCGTCGTAACCAATCCGTCCCTCACTGCCAGTCAACGACGCCACACATCTACCTCTACTTACATAACCACACACTGCATATGTTTCTACACTCATCTTCCCTCCCTCTCCTGTCTACTTACTCTACAAAATCACCGACATGCCCCGTCTCCCCGACTCCGCACACGCCGCCACGGCCAATGACGAAATTGGTGTTTGATCAACCCATGCCTGCCCGACCCCGGACACTGCTGACCCGACCGCTCGCTGTGCCTCCATTGCTCCATTCGGCCTGCGCCCGCTCAAGCCAAATCATCTACTCTCCAACTCCTCCAACTACTGCCGCGCATTCTATCCATTGACTGGATGGCACTTTTCCCGCCCCCCGCCGCTTAACTGAAATTGTCCCTCTTTGTGCCCGCCTGCCGATCCCCAGGATCATCATGTTCAACGTCCAAACGTGAAGAGAGAGAGGAAAAAAAAGCCTCGCTCCCCACGCTTCTGACTGGCTTAGCCACCTCTCCCATCATCCACACGTCGTTTCACTACGCAGGTTGGCCCACCTCCCCGGTGCGATCCGCATCTCACTAGTCCCTCTCTACTCGTGCTCTGTGGCACCACCCTGAGTGAACGGTGCAGATGCAACATGCTACTGCACATACTTACCGACATGATACTTTTGATATGTACACATGTACATGGTCACCGCTGTTCTGCTACCCCGACGATCGTTCGGCAACACGGCCCCTTGGGGTACGCAGTAGGATTACTATACACTCGTCACTACTGTGTAGAGGACTGCAAACACCAGCAGCGGCTGACATGCATCTTGCGCCAACTTGGGACCATGCTCGGTAACCGTCGGTCTTGATACCATCTTTGCATATCCAACCCTTGAGTCGGACCGCCCCCTCACCCCTTCTGCCTGCACCACGCGTCTGTCCCCCAGCCTAAGCCTCGAGTATGTATCGAGTCGATGACGATCAGTATGGGGTCATTCAGACGACAGTCGCATCCTGTCCTATACTTTCAACTTCAACCCAACAGATCTGCCCTCCCACCCCTAAAGAGACCATGCCACGCACCGACACAAGCTTTGCAAATTGCCTCTCCCGCTCCACTGTATAGTATGCTCGTACTCGCAGCTCGCACAACTCATGTCCCGTGACGTGCCCGCGCCCACGCCCACGCCCACGCCCAACTTGGCTCCTGCCCCTTCCCGCGCCGCACCTACTATGTAAATAGCACGCGCACTAGCCGTAGTCGACCCCTTCGCCTAACGCTCTTGCTGAATGCGTTTGCATGCTGTCGTCCCCGCTCGCGACTGCATCATCGTTGGTCCGGCATGTGCCTAGCAGTACCCACTTTTCGTTCTTCGGTGGTTCTTTAGCACACCGGCTTGATTCATGCAATCGCGCTATCCGGCTTCTTCCCACCACCATCCACCACCCATCAGCCCCCGACACCACCAGTCGGCCCGACGGCGGGTTGGAGCCTGCAATCACGCAACTCTCAAAACACCTGAAATTATCGAATTTACCCAATAAAGAAACTAATCTACTCCTCCAAGCCAACCACTACCCGCTGTCGTGCCGCCGTGTCACTGGCTGTGGAGTCATTGGACAATATCTCCGGTAGGGCTGCATCGCCAATGCTGCCCTGGGAAGCCGCTGTTGCTGCCACTGTTGCAGATTAACGGCTTTGCTCGCCGTACTGAGCTGTCGTGCTGCAAGTCATGCACGTCGAGATGGCATTACGACAGGTCCCAAGACCTGGATACATACCACCGCAGAACCACCGGCGACTACGCGTCCCCTAAGCCCTCACCTTATACCAACTGTGGCCCTCCTCCGCAATCACTTGGCCGGGCGTATCACTCTCTTAGCTTCAACCGCTTGGAAAGCTTCTGTCCTCTCATGCCATGCGCGCCCCTCTCTCTGTATGTCCCTCCAACACTCTTTCCACCTCGACAACGTCACGACAAGAGTCATCAAGAGTCATCAAGTTGGTCCGTCCGACTCTCCACCTTGCCAGCAGCTCCTCCATATATATACATACACATACATACACTCGTATGCAACGCCGTTGCCAACACATCTCACCAGTGGAGCTGAAGATGCATGTACCTCTTTTTGGCCCCTTTGGTGTCTAATACGTGTGAAGCACCAGCCCAAAATGAGCTTTGCACAGCTATGCTGGCCAAGACGAGTCACCTTCTGACTCCATCGGACCCTGCATTGCACCACGATAGTATAGTAGTCACATGGACACTGCTAAACCCCACTGACCAACCTGAATCATCCATCTGCATCGCCCAACAAGCCGTCTTGAATTCTGTGAGTTGTTCAGGCTTGTCCGGGAGATTACCGTCGGCATGTCCACTCATGTCTTGGCCACCCACAGCAGATTTTTCTTGCCGCGTGGTGGACTACTATTTAAAGTGGACAGCGGGAAGAGAATCCATGTTCGCCTACAGGTCGGTGCAAATCTGAAATCCACAGAGCCTCGCATCCCAATAAGCACATGTGGTATGCCTGTATACGTACATATGCAGCGAGCAATCTGCCAAGTTATCTTGTGCCCTGCTTGTCTTTCTTCAATCATGGTGGCAAGTCTCTCGCTAGAGATGGTCATTTGTATGTGCAATGCGCTACAAAGCCGCCTAGTGCCGTGTTCGTCCAAGTGAATAGCACTACTTTCAAGTCACCTTCTATCGCTCAAACACTACTGTGATAGACGGGCAGCCACAATACGTAGCCCAACATCCCGGTCAGGTACCATAACAATGGGCTCGTATCTGCAACGGGCTCGGCAACCCGGATCTATGGTAAGCATCGCTGTAGGAGACCTTCTCGAGTATCCATCTTACTCCAAGTCGCTTCGTTCCCGTGTATGGCGCCTTCAAACTTCGGCCGTCGCATCCTGAGGCGCTTCTTAGCATGGGTCTGGCATACCATGTTGGACTGCCCACGGGATTGCGTCACGAGAAATCCGCGACACATGGCCCAAGCTCAAGCTGCTCTCTGTCTCTGTTGAGAGACTGAGGCCTTGACGACTGCAGCAGCGGCAACGACGTGTGCATGTGCAAGCCGTCATCTGCGCCCAACTACGTACTATTTGATTTTTTTTCTCACACTACTGCTACGCTGCTCAAAGTGACGTTACCCACCCAGCTCTCCCGTGTCCACTAAGAACTTGCGGCTACCGACCCCACCATGCACGGCATTTTAGAGCTCTCATTGCAGCTCCTCAACTCGTTATATCCGGCCAGCCTAAGTGTGTACATTGTGTTCATTAAAGCCTCTTGCTATTGAATTATTCTGGTGCAAATCGGTTGTATTTGAGCACAGTTGCTAACTTTCACAAGATGGTGGCCATGGAGCCCAAATTCCCATCCGTGGTGGACAAGACGTAAAGCGTTAGTGCCATGGTGATTGCTCGGCTGATGGATAAGGCAGCTGATGAATACAGCAGCCACGCCAACAACAAAGACGTCTGGCATTCCCGACTACTTTGTAACCGACGATGGTCATTTCCAAGGCCCAACCCAGACGGGCGCTGCCCCGTTTCTTGCACAGACAAACCTAGCACCCTTTGCCGGTGTGTCGTACATACCAAATACGCCATTGGAAACCCAAATGCCGATTCCAGGAAATCCTGATAACAAGAACATCTTCCAAAGCTTGGCAAATCTTAGCCCTTACTTTCCTAATCCCCGCGGGTTCGGGGTTAATGAGTATTCAATTCCTCCTGGTGCCAACGTAACATGGGTCAACATGGTACATCGCCACGGCAGTCGCTATCCCGAAGTTAGTGGTGAAGCAGCCGAGCGGACTCTAGGAAAGAAGCTCACAGATGCGGCTGGGAAATTTACTGCCCATGGCCCTCTCTCGTTTCTAAATGACTGGAAGTTTCTGCTTGGCGCTGAAATTCTGGTTCCAAATGGCAAATATGAGCTGTTTCAATCTGGCACATTGCACTACTATCAGTACGGCCACTTGTACCCAAATAACGGGAGCAAGATTGTAGTACGGAGCACCACACAGCGGCGCATGACTGAATCAGCCGAATACTTTCTCGCGGGATTCTTTGGCCTGCAATGGACGCAGAATGCAACACTGGAGCTTGCCATTGAAGCACCAGGGTTCAACAATACCCTGGCTGGTTACAAGCAATGTAATCATACAAACTGGCAAGTAGCCAAGGATGGTAATACAACTTGACCTATGAGATTTGACTGAGACTGATTGGATCGTAGCGTACATGGACTGGGTGGGTGTGTACCTCCACGACGCCCATCAAAGGATTAGAAGCAACATTACTGGTGATCTCGACTGGACTTTAAGTGATACATGTATGCTTGAAATATTAGTAATTTTTTTTTGGAGATTCTGAACTAATGCTTTGCAGACAACGCTCAAGCCCTTTGTTCGTACGAAACCGTTTCTCTAGGATTCTCCCACTGGTGCGGTCTCTTCACCTACGAAGAATGGCAAGGTTTCGAATATGCGCTCGACATTACCTTTCAAGCCGGCACGGGCTTTGCCTCACCTGTTGGCCGTGCCATTGGTATTGGTGAGTTACCACTTTGAATGACACAGCAAGAGCTTTCTTCATGATACTAACTGCCATGTGCTACAGGCTACGTTGAAGAAGTCCTCGCCCGCATGCAACACCATGTCCTAACTTCACCCTCTGCCCAAATCAACGTCACGCTCGATAACAACACCGTCACATTTCCCATTGACCAAGCGCTCAACCTAGACTTTAGCCACGACGCCGGCATCCTAAGCATTCTCGTCGCTTTCGGTCTCCGCCAATTCAACGACAAGCTGCCTACCACGCACATCAAGCACGACCGTGAGTTTATCCTCTCGCATCTGCAGCCGTTTGCCGGCCGTCTCGACATTGAAGTCATCCGTGCGCCTGCACCCGTCAATCCCAAGCGCAACCAAGACGAAATTTATCTCGACGGCGAGCCTACGAGCTACGTCCACTTCATCCTCAACCAGCGTACCATTCCGCTGGGCAAGAGCCACGCCGAATGTGGGCAGCGAGACGACGGATGGTGTGAAATGGAGACGTTTCTCAAGGTGATGCAGAAGCAGATTGAACTTGCCGACTACGACTTTGCATGCTTTGGCGAATACGAGAATCCTCCGTATGGCGAGGTGACGGATGGAAGGCCATTGAGGTAGTCTTTTTTTTTGATGTCGTATCTAAAGAAAAGTAAACTCGTCACACCGCATTCCATGTTCTATAGTCACCTAGGTATCAATCAAACTTCAACACATCAACCCACGTCCCAGGCATTTCCCTCGCTCCTTCCCTCCCCTCATGCAACCACTTCTCACCATCATATCCAAACTCAATCAGCGCATCCTCACTCCCCCACTCTCCATGTCCACTCATCCCAATCGGCACCACCCCTTCCCCCTTGACACCCTTCACATAGTTCACCGGAAACTGAATACACGGCACGCCCGTAAAATTCGCCAGCCACACATACTCCATATTGCGAATTTGCATATTTCCATTCGTGACGCCATGCGACAGCTCCGCCTCGTCAATCGGCCACCCGGCGTTGGGCGTCGTCGGCGTGACAATCACCAAGCCCGGGTGTGTGCGAAACAGGTTCGCGAGGTGCTGCATGAGGAGATTGCGAAGCCGCTGTGCGAGAAGGAAGTCTGTGGCGGGGGTCTGGCGCCCGACGCTCATGAGGATGCGGTTTGCGGGGGTGAGGTCGTAGATGGAGGAGCGGTGGGCGGCGGCGCCTTCGGCCATGATGGTCATTGCGTGGGCGAGTTGACCCTGGGTGAGTAAGGGGATGGTGATGTCGATGATTTTGTAGCCGAGTTCGTGCTCGAAGTATTTGAGGGTGGAATAGAAGGAGTCTTGGACTACGGGGTCGGAGCGGTCGATCCATTGTTTGTGTACTCCTAGCACTTTCTCCCGTGGACCCGTTACTTTTCGTGGAGGGGCAAAGAGCGACGAGGGATATGTAGATGGATCGGGCTGGGCGAGCACGCGGTACGAGATTTCGAGATCGGGCATGTTGCTTGCGAGGGGTCCGCGTACGGTGACAGATTTCCCGGAGTTGGGCATGGGGGCGATGGAGACGCGGGAGTGTGAGGGCTTGAGGCCGTAGACACCGCAGTAGTTGCTGGGGATGCGGACGGAGCCGCCGCCGTCGGAGCCTATGGCGAAGGGAATCAGGCCATGGCCTACGGCTGATGCGGCGCCGCCTGAAGAGCCGCCGGGATAGTAGGAGCTGTTGTAGGGGTTTCGTGGTGTGCCCCAATGGGGGTTGTTGTTGGTAGTATCTGTGTCGATTTAGCCAATTGCTTATATCACAACGGAGGGAATGCCTTTATACCCATGCCCAGTTCGTGCATTGTGAGTGTCCCGACTAAGATGGCACCTTCTTTCTCCAACATCTTTGCGCACCAGCTGCTTTCCTTGTTGCCGCCGTTGCTGTAGTCATGCGTCGTGCCGACATAGTGCTTGTAGTCCTTGATCCGCAAGTCGTCCTTGACACCAAAGGGTACACCATCTAGTATTCCCAATGGCTTTCCCTCTTTGTATCGCTGTGTAGAGGCTTGAGCGGCTTGCCTGACAAGGTCCACTTTAGTTTCCATGAACGCTGTCGAATATGGCGAGCGCTGCGCGACATCTCTGCGGATGAGCGGCAGCAGGCGCTCTACGACGTCGGACGGTGTGAATGCGCCATTCGAGTACCCGTCGTGGAAATCTTTGACCGAGTAAAAGCGGCTAGGCGATGCGTGGTCCAGTGGTGTACGAAGATTCGACTTGTCTGTATAGCTCGCCGGAGCTTTGTCGTCTGGTTGAGACAGCGGAATCACGGTAGGGTCATAACGCGCATCGACGCCGTCGAGTTGTCGGCATTGCCGCAGGGTACTGAAGCCAGCATTGCTCCAGAGGATTCCGGGCACCAGAGGTACGGTCGCAACGCTGGACAGGTCAGTCAATATTTCGGAGGAATTGACATGAGATAGAATCTCACAGATTGGCGAGGTAGTGCAGCAATGGCCCTTTGATCACTGGGTTCTTTCCTGGAGGTGGGGCTTGGTACGGCACTTCGTAAGGCTTGGGGGTCGGATAATTGACAAAACGGGAAAACAATTGCTCGCTTTCTGACATCTTGGCTGCGTCTGACAGAAACAAGGGAAAAACGTGTTGTAAGAATGTACGGGAAGAGTAACCATGGATTACTTTCGAGCAGCTGTGAAGTTTGGGTCCAGGGTCTGTAAGTATGGACCTCGGAATGTCACCAACAGCCATGCGCAATTTCACATGCCTAATTTCACATGCCTCTGGTGTATGCTTGCGGGAAATAAACCCCCCATCTTCCAAATACTCTTGCATCCATGATTAATAGACTGGAGTAGATGTGTAGTCGTGTGCGAAGTGGCAGTGCAGTGGCTAGTTGCGGTGAGCTAGTTGTAAGCTGGTCTTGGTGGAGGTTTTAGTTTCCCAACACCCGAAGCTGATAAACAATGCTGTTATCGTGACATCTATAGGTCTTATTTCTGGAAGAATGGTACATACGACCATAGGATTCTGGATACCAGGGAAACCCGTTTGATCTTCCATACTTAAGCAGTTTACCGGCGGACTAGTAGTCAGGTGGGTGACCACTGGCGAATCCCCGCTGTCGTATGTTTTTGCAGTCTTTTTTGCATGTTTTTGCTCTGATCACGTGGCATGGGTACCAGGTTGCCGAAGGCGTGCTCTAGTATGCAGAAACTGCGTAGGATTCCCGTCTCGTTGCCGTGTTACCGCTAGGTAGCTCACAAGTCGGAAGGGATTAACAGAAGAGCAAGGGTGTTGCGCGCGTCTCCATGACGTCGATCTGCCGTCGAGACATTTGGCCACTCACAACTTCTTGTGACAGGAAGACCTGAGATCCAGCTAAAAATGGCAAAGCCAAAGGCTTCGCGCACCTATTTTGTTGCCTTCGTCGTCTTCCAGTACGCGATCGCAATCTCGGCGAACACGGCATGCGCTGAGAAGGCCTTTTGGGATGTCGTAAGCGTGTCGGCAAAGCTAGTAAGGAGAATTCGTGTATGCAAGCCCCGATGTGTTCGATGAACGTCGAGTTCCGCAAATCGAAATATTGGTCTGAAGCTCTTTTCTTGAACCAGGTATCTTCGTGTATGGAACATATTGGACACTTATCCAAGACCGGTTCTTCCCCAATTCCACATGCTTCTATCAAGTCTTCGACATTTCTCCTTCGAGTTCGTCACTGTGGCGCAGTTGAGCGTGTTTAGTAAACAAGTCCTTGTCTGAAAATATATCCGCAGGGTCACAAAGGATGCACTCCCATTTAGGAAGACTTTTATGCCCAGAAAATATATGTACTTTCCATGCTTGAAGAGTACCAAAGAGCGGCTGGACTTCTGAGCATCCCGGCAAATAACAAATGTATGGCCTCAAATGATCTGAGACATGTTTTTTGATAGTCTAGGTCAATAGCATTGTCGAGCGATTGGTAACTTACACCCATCTCGAACCTTGCGCCATAGCCTTTGCAACTGTTATTCGGCAATATGGGCAGGTAAATAGGTTCGCATTTGGGTTCATCTTCGGGGCACTTGGATAGTTCACCTTCGAAGTTGCTACTGTTGACGGTGGTTGATCGTTTTCTAGAAGATCCGAGATTTGGTTGTCAGGCTTATGACTTGACGACTTGGCTGTGTTGCTTTTTGAATATTCCGACTGAAGTGTAGACTGCTGTGTAGATACAGTAGTTGACTGAACTCTAGATGATGTGTGCTTCTGATGAACTGTGCCAGGTAGCGTTAGGTCATCCTTGGGTGTAGTGGGTTCCAAAGTCATTGCACGTTTTGGTCTCAGGACAATTTTCTCTTCTTCTATCACCGATCGTTTCATCAATTTGTCGGCACGCTTCGCCGCGAACGAAAACCTATGCTGACGCCTGGCATTTGCCTCGATCACAGCCTGGGTTTCATACGGCACTCTGTCCTCTTCGATCTGTTTCTGCGAAGCTATGGCGAACGCGTGCAAGAACAGAGCGTTTTTCGTTACCGGATCGGGTTATTTCGTACTGGGACCCTACTTTGCAGCGCAAAATGATGTTGTTGGTGTGTTGTATGGCTCACAATTTCCTGTGGTGTTACGACCGATTGGTAAGAACTTCCTCTTTTTGGGCACGTGCTACGTTCACGGTATCATGCATGGTGAAGCTTCAGATAGCCGTGACAAAGATGAGATTGTGTTTTCCCTGTGTTGATGTAAAGACGTTGTGGTTTTGGAGGTCAGATATGTTAACGTTGTTATTTCATGCTATTAGGGTCGTGATGGGTGCTACACTTTGTAGGATATGAGAAGAAACTGTTCTCCTAGATCTCGTAATTCTAGGTCTACAATTGCTTTACCAATTGAGCCACAGTCATGGCGTGGAGATGCGCGTGGGTATGGGCAAAGGTTATTCGTCACCCCTATAAGCAGGGGTAGTAAGTTAGTACGGCACTTACTCTATATTAATAAGTATAATTTATATCTTTATACTCTTCACTATCTAGCGTAGTAATCTATACTTTTTTCTTCTTCTCTTCTTTCTTCTTTCTTTCTCTAACAAGAATAAGAGGAAAAAAAGAGAAGTAAAAAAAGAGAAAGAGAAAAGTAGGAGAAGGTAGAAAAAAAGAAAGTAAGAAGAGAGGTATTTTTTCTCTTTTTTACTTTATAAGTGTAAGAAACTATAGATTAAGTTAGCCTCAAGGCTAAGTAGGGGGACCCTGCTTATAGTGGTGATATTTACTTATTATGGGGGTGACGAATAACCTTTGCCGTGGGTATGTGGTGGTGTATGAGATGAATCCGGACACACTAAGCACTATTAATAACAAGGTTCATGCTTCTGACAGCTGTAAGACGAGCGGAACGAGGAGCCTGTGCGCGGCCAAGGGGCAATCTGATGTAGTAGGGCGAGTAGATATTGGCTGTAATAGCCTAGGCTTTGCCATCTTCAACACCGGCTAACACTACCACGATAGCTCTGGTGGTTTCAACATGGAACGTCACCTTAGATATCACTTTTGAACGGAGCTCGATATCGCTCAAAATTAAAAGTAGGTGGGCCAGGTACTAAGCACTAAGATCTTTGTATGGTAGCGCTGATAAAATAAGCCTCTGTTTCTGCTTTCGAAGAACTCTGTTTTGCTTAACCCGACGCTGTTCCCATCTCCGCTCAGAAAAAGGAATCCTGATCAGACCTAGCAAACGGAAGCGGAGCTACAACTGAACAGGCCCCGGGGCTCTGAGAGGAGTACTGATTGGACAGATAAGTCGGCAAAAACCTTCCAATTCATTCAACGGCAAGATTTCAATTATACCTGAACTATAATGATTTGTTGATACGAGGTCGTGTTTAGCGTTTGCAAGGAACAGTAGTGCGTACGGATGAGCGAGCAAATGTGTCTCACGAGATCTGATGACAATTGATCGCAAGACATCCGTATAAGACCGTCTGTTGCCATGCTCATCAAAATCTTAGGTTTAAACAATACCAAACGTCTATTGACTATCTCATTGCCTGAATCATCACACTATCTTACGAGAACTCTTCGCTACTATTCTATCACCTTCGAATATCCGAGATAATGAAGACTACTCTCCCATCAGTACTGGCATTTGCTTCGGTGCTTTCTGTAGCTCTAGCAAATTGCAACTTCCCATTATGCGACTCTGGACCAGTGGGAAGTTTTGACGACAACAAGTGCAAGGGCAGGGTTCACAGAGTCGGCAAAAACCCACGTGGACAGGCTGGAGTATTCCAAGGCGGGCCAGATCATTGGGACTGGGAGGTCAAAACAACTTACTACAAGATCAACATCTGGGATAGCGGCTTAGTTACGTACGATAGTGGAGCAGGTAAGGCCTGTATTATGCGAATAGCCCAAGGGAATGCACTGCACGACGTTGTACTCCCACCAGACAACGCACAAAACCCCAACTGGAATGGACCTGGATGCTGCCTGGATTCGAATCTTATTTATGGTATTAATGATGTTTGGGTATGGAATTGAAGGGGGACCACTTGTAACGCGCCAGCCGTCCTTTGGTAGAGCTCTCCATCGAATGCAATTTTGTTACACCCAGGAATGCCCTTTATATAGCAATCTCCTGAGTTCAGCCTCATACATGAACCTAGTCAGGTGATAGCGGCATCTAAATAGGCCATTGAATGAACCCATACTAGATGGCTGGATTCTTTTTCAGCTATTTACAGTACAGAGAACAAACCAGCCGCTGCCCTTTGCAATACGAAAAGCACTATGCGCAAGGATTAAGAGCCTTACTTATTCTATAAGCTATCTAAATATTCCCGATAACACAAATAGGAGTAGCACTTATGCTAGCTAACGACACTGTTAAGTACCACCTACTAAAGCGGGATAGCGTAGAAAGTATATAAGATATGTAAGGAGCAGTTACATATTGGCTCCTGGAGAAATATGTCACCATGTAGTGTAGGGTATTAAGGGGGCTCTTGTGGGACTTTAGATAGGTAGAGACGTAGTAGTATTAATTAGTGAAGCAATTATCGCGTAGGAAGTTTGCTCTGAGATAGGAGTAAACCTGCAACCTTGTAAACAATCTCAACCTAGACTAGATGGGTTTGATACAATTACCTGGGTAATATCCGTTGCTGAATGAGTGCGGCCGTTCCTGAGTCTTGGAATAAGTAAGTGGACAAAAAAGGTAAAGAAAAACTCGCTATTTTCAACACCGAAGACACTTTTGTAAGAAGCTTCGCTGTGTTACCAACAAGATTGATTAAATGAAGACGCTCATCATGCATGGCTATCAAAATGCCATGCCAACAGCAAAAGCGATCTAATGCTCTTTCCCCGCTATCTCAACTAGCCCTGGCACCTAAACAATAATACTGTAATAGCATGCATCTTCGAAAAGTGCCTTATTTGTCCAACACCAATGTTAAAGCTGTGATCATAGACTGATGATTCTTCTCCCAGACATTTGTGGAGTCAGTACCGACCTGCGTGTTCCGCCATGTCGGCATAACTGTGGCTTGCTCTCCTTATCCGTTCGAAATTGCTCATGCTCGTCTACTTCCTGCCAGCAACCTCATCACCCATGCGGTTGTACTCCTTCTGCATGTTCTCAACCTGCTTCTTCAGGTTCTCCATGTCACGGTCCTTGGCCTCGAGCTCCTTCCTGAGAGCACCAACTTCGCCAGGGCCACCAGCGTTCTTCAGGGCAGAGTTCTTGCTGGCCTTGGGGTCACCCCTCAGGCTCTTGACCTCCTCTTCGAGACGGAGAACATCGAGGATCATGACGTAAGTGCGGTTGAGGATGAGCGAAAGGAAGAGGGTAAAACCACAGAGGTACATGTTGCGCTGCGAGTAGAACTTGCGAGCTTGGACCTCCATGCGTTCGATACCTCCAGCAGCGACACTTCTTGAGGTGTTAGTCTTGCAGCATAACAGAGGTGTTTGTCGACTTACCCTGGGCGGCCCTGCTCATCTGAGCCGGAAAGCTCAATTTGCACGCGATAGACGCGGTTCACACTGTCAATGAACAGTATGAGAATGAATATGAACGTAATCTACACATGTCAGACTTGACTTGTGTAAGGTTGTATCACCACCACATACCTTCATGCCATATTGTAATTTGGCAATTATCGGACTCTCCGAAATGAAGGTGAAAAGCTTGCGGCGCCATGTGAATGGCAGGGGAACGATGAGGGCACAGAAGATGAGCATCTCTGTCACCAAGAGGAGGAAGACCTAGAAGCAGGAGGCAGTCAACATCAGGCCACATTCCGTTTCCAAAAGCAATGTGAACAGAGCACGCAAGCAATGAACACCGGATAGCCACGGGATCACTGTGCTAGTAAAGGAGGCAATTGAAGAAGGCGTATATCTTACCAGACTGTAGTAGAGCGTCATGTTGGTGGTGACGTGGTAATATTCGCACGACGCGAACTGGTGTTTGTGTGGGAGCGGGGTTGAGCGGAATCAACAATGAAGCTGAGAGGAGCTGACTTGCAGACAAATGCAGCAGCCAGAAGGGATGTGACGAAGAAATCGAGGGTTTAAGAGGATCGGAGGAGAGATGATGGGAAAGTGGGAACTGGCGACGCGAATCTGATGTAGGAGCCGCAGGGTGCCTAGTTATGAAGCTCTACGTCACAGCCCCGGCTTGCTCACTAGCGCTTGGGCCGCCGCCGGTCTAGCCTCTTGTAGCCGTATTTGCACTCACTTTTTGAGCGAGTGCTTTTCTCTATTGAGCGCCAACGCCAACAACATATCAAGAATCTGCTTCTCGTTGCGCCACAAAATGTCTACTAGCAACGGAAACGGGGTCGACCCTGCCCACCAGCCAACCGACGGCGGCGTCGCACTTGATTCTAACGGCGTAAATGGTGGCAATGGCATGGCTGATGTGAAACTCGAGGCGCCCTCGAGTCCAAAGAAGAGAGCTAGAACGAGCACTCCGGAAGCTGAGGGTGCTGCTGACACTTCCTTCAAGAGGGTCAAAGGTGTTGCGCCTATCAAGGCAGAGTATGCTGCATCATCAACATAGAGGGACTCACGTGCTAAGAACACCAGATTCTTGATACATCGAAACGACAACAAGGTCGACGCAAGGGATCAAGTGATAGACGACGACGCAGCTGAGGCGGCCGATGCTGACCACAAATCTGAAGGCCTGCCCAAGACTGATGCCCGCGACGCTCCCAGAGGCAAGGGCAAGAACAAGAAAGAAAAGAAGCAAAAGGGCCAAAACACCAGTCGCACTTTTGGAAGCTCGCGCGATAAGATACCTCTCTGCGGTACTCGCGCACAGTACAATGAATTCTCACCCAAGGATTGTCCATTTGGCGAAAAATGCAAGTTTGAACACGACCTCCGCAAGTACCTGAAGGAGGGCCGACGAGAAGACTTGACCACTTTTGATGGCCAGTGCCCAATTTATGCTGTCAAAGGATTCTGTCATTTTGGTTGGAAGTGCCGTTTTGTTGGCAGCCACTCTGACGAGCGTACCACCGAGGATGGTAGAAAAGAACTGGTACTGAAAGAGAATGCCGAACTCAAGGCAAAGCTATCTGGTGATGATGACGAGGCCGAAGCTGAAGTTGTCAATATCGTGCCTAAGGAAGTCAAGTTTGGCCTCTCAAGACGGAAGATTGGCACACCACGATCTGATCAATATCTGCAATGGATTGAAAGCAATAGCCGGAACGAGCGAGATATGTTTGATGCTGCTCAGATGGACCCTGAGATTCTTAAGGAGGAGAAGGAAGCGCGTAGGGCAGAATATGTCGAAGCACCTTTCAGACCGTCTGAGAAGCGAAGACTATACTACGGGCCTGAGACGCCAATGCTCGCACCTCTTACTACCCAGGGTAACCTGCCCTACCGACGACTTTGTATAGACTTTGGTTGCCAAGTGACATGGAGCGAGATGGCCATGGGCATGCCTCTAATCCAAGGTGATAAAGGCGAATGGGCACTCATGAAGGCTCACGAATCCGAGATCAGCCCACCAAAGTTCCTAGCAAAGAACACCGTTGTCCAGGGCTACGACAATTCTACTGATCTCAAATTTGGTGCCCAGATCGCTGCGAACAAGCCATGGTTGGCTACAAAGACAGTGGAAGTGCTAACTGACCACTGCCCCAAACTACGAGCCATTGATCTCAACTGTGGATGCCCAATCAACCTCGTCTGCGAAAAGGGAAGCGGCTCAGCACTATTAGACAGCGAAGCAAAACTAGAGCACATCCTCCGCGGCATGACCTACGTCTCCAAGGAAGTCCCCATCACCGTCAAGATCCGCATGGGCACAAAAGACAACCATCCCACTGCACAGAAGCTCATCAAGCGTCTCGTCCTAGGCGGCCACGAAGCCGTCGAATCCGGCAAGGGCACATCTGGCATCGCAGCCATCACCCTCCACGGCCGCAGCAAACAGCAGCGCTACACCAAGAGCGCCGACTGGTCCTACATCGCCGAGTGCTCCGCCCTCATCAACCGCCTACGCAAAGAAAGAGACGCCCAAACCGACACCATCGCCGAAGCCGACCCCCGCGACCTCGCAAACGGCGGCCACGTCTACTTCGTCGGCAACGGCGACTGCTACTCCCACATCGACTACTACAACCACCTCGAAAACGCAAAAGTCGACACCGTCATGGCCGGCCGCGGCGCCCTAATCAAACCCTGGCTCTTCGAGGAAATCGAAAAGGGCCAGTACCTCGACAAGTCCGCTACCGAGCGCCTTTCCTACATTGAGAAATTCACAAAATACGGTCTTCAGACTTGGGGGTCCGATGAGATGGGAATCGGGACTACGCGCCGCTTTTTGCTCGAGTGGCTGAGCTTTGCACATCGATATGTGCCTGTGGGCTTACTGGAGCACTTGCCGCCGCATATTAATGATCGCCCGCCGAGGTTTAGGGGACGCAATGAGTTGGAGACTTTGATGGCGAGTGAGCATTATAAGGATTGGATTAAGATCAGGTATGTTCTTTGTCTTGTGTTTAAGATGATTGTGTGGGTAGCTAACCATGTGACAGTGAAATGTTCCTCGGTCCGGCTCATGAGAACTTTAAATTTGAACCCAAGCATAAGTCGAACGCGTATGAGTTTGAGGCAGAGGGGTAAGTATGTAAGTGTTTAGGGAAGGGATCGCTAAGGTTCTGTTTTGTTGTTTACATGAAGTCTAAAGTGAGAAAAGAAGAAGAAAAGATGAACGAAGAGCTTGGATAGCATGATTTGGTATGGAGAGCAACTTCATCTGGACAAAGCATCAATCTGCATTCGATCAACTTGCTATATATATCCGAGATCTAGTATCACCACGATACCGAAACGCATAAAGCTTACATTCTCTACCCCAATATCTCATCATAACAATCCGGTATCACATCTCTCTCCAAGCCTCGCTCACACATAATCATACAAATCCAATCCCAATCTCCGCCCTTCAGTCCTACTCCAAAAATCCAACCAACGCCTCCAACATATCCCTCTCCGCCTTCTCAACCGCCAACACCCCATCCAACTGCGCCTGCAACGTCCTCTTGACATCCGCCAACCCCTCATCCCTCTCCGCCAACCTCTCCTGCACAGCCCTCTTCGCCCCTGCATCCTCGGCCACCAACCACGCCAGAATCGCATCAATCCGCTCCAAACAATACAGGCCCTCACCTAACCTCTCCGTCACATTCTCCAGCTCCCACTCCTCCAGCTCCTCGCCGCTCAACCCCTGTTTCAGCGCGGCGCTCCGCGCATCGAATGCCGCGAGGCGGGCTACGTAATCGCGGCGTAGAGAAACGAGCTTAGTTATCTTTTCGTAGTCTTTCTCAAGGAACTTGGCGAGGAGACGGAACCGCGAGTCCGAGTTTCCGGGTAGCGAACGCAAGAGGGAGGCGAAGATGGAAAGGATATGTTCGGTTTGTTGGGGATCTAGTTTCTTGGACTTCATGAATGTTGAAAACAAGGGTTTGAGACCGCGGGATTCGACGACTTTGTCGCAGACGGCCATTGCGCTGTTGGATAAGGGCGCTGCTTCTTGGTCTGAGGCGGCGGCTTTGCCTTTGCTGTTGTTGTTGTTGTTGGAGGAGGGGTCGGAGGAGGGATCTGAGGCGTAGCCGCAGGCGTGGTCGAGGACTTTTAGGGCGCGGCTTTTGCTTGTTTTGCCGTCGCGGATGAAGAGGAGACAGAGTTCTACGCCTTCGGCTTCGAGGAATTTGAATTTGCCGAGGGGCTCTTCGGTTATGGAGCAGAGGCAGTTAAAGAGGTTTTCCATGTATTCTTCTTCGTAGCTGTCTCTTTCTGGATCGTCTCGTCGGTACGGCGCAAGGTTTGTGAGGAAGATTTCGACGCCGTTGGCTTCGGCAACGTGGTTTCTGTTCGGTCGTGAGGATTGTGTAAGGATGGAGAGGATCTCGGCGGCGTATTGTTTGTTTTGTGATGTTGGTTTCTCGGGCTTCTGAATTCTGTCCAGTAGCCACTTTAGTAGTGTAGTTTCCTTCCCTATTAAGTCGGTATTTGCTGGTTGTGACAGTAGATTCTCGATTACGCTGAGCGAATTGTATACACCAGATGCGTCGGCCTCGTCGGTTTCGTCGAAGCGTGAAAAGTTGGAGATGAGCAGGCTGACCAAGTCTGCCTCCATGAGTGCCACCACGAGCGCATCCCATTGCTCCTGCTCTCCTCCCACATCCTCATCTGTGAGCTCTGATATCATTTCAATCGCAGCGATTGCAATGTCTGTGTTCTCATGCGCAAGCAGTTCCACCAACTTTGACGCTGCTGTGCTCTTTGCGAATTCCTCATATAGCTCCGGGTGCTCTGACAGTATACTCAGCGCCTTTATGCCTTCATCCAAATCGCCCTCCGACTCCATAAATTTTGTTGGATCGTTTTCATACTTTGCGCGTAGCGAAGCATTCTTGTTGACCTTTTTCTCAAAGTTGAGCGCCAGTTTGCGCACCCAGGGAACATCGTACTTTTCCTCTCCTATCGCCTCATCGCCATCTAGCGCATCAATGTATTCCATAGCATCTCGCGCATTCTCGTCCAAGCCATCGCCAAAGAATCGTCCTTCGTCATCGTCGCCTGGGCCGTCGTCGAAATCGGGTGGTAATGAAGGGCCAGCCTCGTCATCGTCTTCTTCGTCGGCTACCGAGGCTTGCGCTGAGCCCTTTACGTCGCCATTTCCGTTTAGCTTTGCGGATTTGTACGATTGCGTTGGATCGGCTTCGTTTGGGTTTTCAAACTTGCGCTTTGCAGAACCGTTTGCGCCTTTGAAAAGCTCGTCAATGCTCGTCATTTTGTTGGCACTACGGGTAAAACAAACGGTTAGAAAAACACAGCAGGGTGGAATTAGTGACGTTGGCGCGTTCTGGTCAGTCTTTCCAACGTGAGAGTTGACACGGTCCTGGCTCGATACTAGCGCGTTTAAGCTGCACGCATAAGGTCACGCCCATCTCGCCTTCACGTGTTCTGCGTATTCGTACATCTACAACGACCATGCACCAGCCACTATTTCTCTTACATCTCCTGCAATATAGCATGATACTGTAAGTTCTCACTCTCTAGATACTCAGTCCGGTAAAAAAGATGAATAATGAAGAGAAATTTCCATGTCTTCGATTGCCTCACCATCTGCAAAGCTCATGTAGACGAAGTACGCGGTTCTTTCAAGTCATTCTTGTGTCCAATCTGACTAACATGGACGATGTTTAATGGCCCTCTATAGGACACTACAGAGAAAGAGAATACTTGAATGCAAATAAACAGCCAGATTACAGCATTTAGGAAAAATCAAAGGTAAAGCCGATTCTGTAAGAAATGACGATTTGTGCATATATCTGGTATGTGGGTTCCACGTTTCACTTAACAGAAGTGCACTTTTCAAAGAATTACATACCATTCTTGGCAATAAGTCGTCAACCATTTGCACTAGGCGCTTACTCAGGTGCTCCAATAAAGTCACCATGGTGCTCCAAGCACAGCACATAAGCATGAGATACCCCACCTGTGGGACGTCATACTTAGTATCGCCTTCTATAACCCTCATCCTCATATCCACCGGAGCCACCGTATTGACCACCAGACCTGCCTGAGCCATACTCTTGTCTCCTCTGGCCATATTCATCCTCATCTCCACTGAAGCCTCCAGGCACACCGGAAGCGCCATATGATCTCCCAGGGCGCTCGCCACCATACTCAAGGCCTTCGGAACGGCCGTACCCACCAGAAGATTCATTGCCATAGCGAGAATACTCCTCACGGCCATAGCCCGACTCTTCCTGACGACCGTAGCCTGATTCTTCTTGACGACCATACCCGCCAGAACTGTAAGAGTCAGCAACGTTCTGAGACTGTGCATGGCCATCGTTATTAGGGTAAATTGCCATGTCCTAGATCTTCATACCTGTATGATTCTTCACGGCCGTAGTCTTGCTGTCGGCGACCATATCCTGATTCCTCACCATAGTGCTGTTCCTGGCTGTGGCCACCCGAATAACGCTTGGGCGAGCGACTGCCGCTCTTTTCACGGCGGCGCTCGTGCTCGCGAGAACGAGAGCGGGAGCGACGCTTATATTCTCCCGAACCTGATCGACGCTTGTCAGCATCGTCGTCCGAGTCTCCAGAACGACTACCGTATTTGTGGTGTTTATGGTGCTTGTGGTGCTTCTTTTCTTCCTTTTCACGCTGCTTGCGTTCTTTTTTCATGCGCTTCTCATAAGAATCTCCGTCGCCCGAGTCGTTGGAGTCATCGTTGTCATGCTTCTTGGACTTACCGCGTCGCCTAACCAAGTGTCAGCAAATGTCTTCTATGCCAGAAGTAAGCTACTTACTCTTTCTCTTCGGAATAGTATTGTCCCGATCGGTCGAAACCCTCACGCGATTCTTCAGAACGCCATTCACTCCCTTGCTGAACACGACGCTCTTCATGACGCTCGTATCCGCCAGATCCACTATAGCTTGAGGTCTCAACCGTTTGCTGGTAGCTGTACGATCCACCACGGTCGTCTCGTTCTTCACGAGAGTACTCCTCCCGGCGCCCACCGCCTGGGTACTGGGTCTGCTGATACTGGGCACTTCCGTAGCGATCGCTGTCACCATATGAAGACGCCTGGTGGTGCCCCGTCTCCGAGTACGACTGAGTGTAGGAGCCGTCATTCCCATAACTCTCTTCTTTGCGGCTCTTCCTCTCCTGCTCATTGAAAGCGTTTCCGAGGATAGAGCCTCCGATGCCACCAACAAGCCCTCCAACAAGGCCGCCGAGGGCGCCACCACCAACAGCTTCACCTGCAAGCTTGCCCACATGATCGGAAGCTTGTTGGATCTGTGCATTGGTGCCCGTCTTGCTGCTTGCTGGGCCAAAGTTATTGGCCATACCTAGAGGCTTACCGCAACCGTGCCCCTTGTCATAAATATTTTCCTTGTGGTTCTTGCCCTTTTCTACACCCTCGCGGCTGAGCTGATAGCGGAATTCGGTCTTTGCTTGTTCATCTTTGGAATCCCACCACTTTTTGACAGTATTGTACATGATCGCACGGCCTTCCATCGCCTTTGTCTTCGGCTCCTGATCGACACAAGCAGGGTGGTGGAACACGCCTTCAATGATGGTGTCAATAGTCTGGCTAGGGTGTGCTTGACCATCCCAGCACTGGACAATTTGTGGTACGGCCCATGCAATCGTTGCCGAAGCTACTCGTCCAGCAGGCTCGTTGAGGACATTGGAGAAGTGATCCTTGGAAAGCATACTGTGAGTGGGATCAGTGCAGTCGTCGTCATTGAAGACGATGTGCTGCTTGTCGCGAGAGCTTGCAATGACCTCGGTCGAGCCCACTTCAAGCTCACTCTTGACTTGGCTGAGAATGGGCAAAACATAGGGAGCAAGCAGACTGAAGACAAAGATGGTGACTTGGTTCTGGACTTCCTCAATTAGGTCCGGCAGGATGGGAATCTTTTCGATGAATTCAGAAATAGATTGCATGATCTCATCGTGGAACTCCATAATTGGATAGATTTGCTTGACTAGTTCCCCAATCTGTTGAGTGAATTCCTCTGGCTCCTTGGGAGTGATGCGCATATTGCCCATGGCTGCAGCGTTGGCATTGTTTTCGAGCTCATCAGCCTTGCTTGCCTCGTCTTTACCACCAAAGATGCCCTCTGGGAGCTTTTCGAGGAGCTCCTTGATTTTGCTCTTGTTTTTGCTCCTGTCGGCGTTGGAGATGGCACCTTCAAGCTCCTGGAGCTCGGATTGAGTAGCTTTGTCCGTAATCTCTCCACATACAGAGTGCAAGAAATCGACACCACCAAAGGTACCGGTGACGATGGGGTAGACCTCCTTTCTGGCTTGCGCGACGTAGAAGCGAGCATTCGTACCTACATGGGGGAAAATACCATGCTCACCAATCTCAATCAAGGCAAGTTCAACGTAGTTGGAGTGGGCAGCGTAGTCCTCTAGGCAGTGTGTGGCGGTACCGAGAAGACGCAGAGCCTCGTAAAAGTCGGGACCTCGTCCTCCAGAGCGCTGGCCCAAGTCAATACAACGTGTAAGCAGGTCGCGGACCATGCCAGCCGATGTTGTGATGCCCAAATTTTCCGAGGCAATGTAGTTCTTCAGGCCGGTCTCCTCATCGACACTGAGCTCACGGCGTTCGTCAACAGGAGCTCGTAGACGGCGATCGTAGTCGCGGGCGTCGATGTTGTCAGCATAGTCCTGAAGGGTCAGTATGTGTGTCCGATCGGATGGGCTGCAGAACTGACCTTGGGATTGTCGATGTGCTCCTCCGGCCTGTAGCAGCCGAGACGGTCACGGGTAACCTCGAACTCCTTGGTGCCGTATCCGAAGCTCATAAAGCCAAGAATCCATAGTAGGATGCGAATCGCCTCTGCTGAGACCATCTTGACAGTGCCCACATCGACTGCTTGCGAGTAGTCGCGCAGCCAGTTGCCAAAGTAGACACGCTTGACATCCATCTTGCTGAATTTCTTACCAGTGTGACCGCTGATGAGCAGTGTAAGAAGGGTATCCTCAATATCCCCATGGCGCCAGTTCTGTCCCTCAATGGAGCTCAGGCTTGCGATGTTGCCCGCACCAAAAGCTGCGGTGGGGCGAGCCCAAAAGACAAGCAGAATCAGGCATGGTAGCCAGATGTCGCTGAACTGCGGCATCGTGTTGGTGTCTTCGTATGCTCTTGTGTTATTCAAAAGAAAAACGTTTGGATATGGGAGAATACTGGAGAAAAGATAGAAGCAACAAGGAGTGAGAGGGTCTTGTATAGATGAGTACTGCTAGCGCTTGTTTCAGCTCAACTTGGTTGAGCTGCCCCGCCAAAGCCCTGGAGCTGACGTAGCGGGGTCCATCGGCTACAGTACTGCCCACCTGATCGGCTGCAACATGTCATTACATGGCTTAAATATTTTCTTTTCTCCACCCCAAGCCTCACACTGCATATCTCGGACAGCTGCAATACGTCGCCTCTAGATCAGATAAGCGTGATGTCCCTCTGGACACCCTCAGGTACATAATCTGGGCTACCATCCATATCGAAATCCCCATTCAACTCGTGCTCCCCAATGCGCCTATAGAAACCCTCTTCTTCTGGGCCGATTGCTTGAACAACCAAGAGTGCCGTTGTGATGGTAGGCGGTAGATTGATCAAGGCGGCACTGCGCACGTAGGCGAAAAGAGCAAACGTGTCGTATTCGCCACACTCCCCGCCCTCATCAGTAACTCCTGGATCCAGGCGTAGCCGACTATCCATTGCTGTCCGATATGGCTTGGGCTTTCGCATGCGACGCATCAAACCGCGAATCTTGATGGTGCTACCACTTGGATCAGATGTCAGCGGTTCACCGCTCCATTTTATATCTGTGTTCAGAATTTTGGCTTGATACACGATACCCAAGTCTCCTACTCTTGGTTTTTCAAATATGAGTTGTGTCCAATCTATTGGTGGATTGATCGTGACACTGCCATGAGGAAAAGACATCCATGTCCAACTTGGTCGGCAATTAGCTCGTTTTAATGGAGTGATTTTATGTTCACGAGGGTCGTGATATACTTTCCATGCCAGATGGAGAGCTAGATCACGCTCCCATAGACCTACAATTGGTCTATTACCGGCAATATCTTGATGAAATTGTACAATGCCAGCCAGTGCAGCATATTGATCGCTTGTATGGGTGAGGGAGCGCTTCATGTAATCGGCTACGCAATGCCACCAATTCCTCTCGAACTCAAAGACATCCAGTCCGCCACTGCCAATATCGCGCATCTTTTGTGAAAACCCTCTACTCCTGGCACGCCATGATTTTTCTGGAGGCAAATGTGTTTTCTCATCGTACGCTGTGCCATCTTCTCTTTCACTGATTGAGTTACATTCCCACACAAATTGAGAGTAGGTAGCATGTAGAATCCGACGCGAGAGAATTTGCTCTTGTAGTATCCATGCTCTTTTGTGGACTGGTTCATCACGCAGCTGCATTTCAATGGTGTCTATCCGTCCATCACGAGATGTATCTCTTGCCTTGGCGGCAAAGTAAGGGCGTCCGTGGTCAGTACTGCAAAATCGAGTTACGGACCGAATCTTTGGAGATAGACCACATCCTCCATAGCTGTTTTCAGCACTAGTTGCAGAGAGAGTAATAGTACCTGCACCATAGATTGCTGCCATCTTGGCACTCTCTCGCTGCCAATCTTCGGTGTCGTCTTGGATGATACACAAACTGTCTATCCAAAGGTACCTAAACCCAATAGCTACGGTAAGGCGAACGGCATCTTGAAAGGTCTTTGGGAGGCTATCGAAATCGATGCCACCGTCATAGTATTTCGCTATCTTGCTCTTAGTCGTCTTACAAGGTAGCTCTATACCGCCCCATACATGAGTCAGAGCGATGTAAGGTCTACTGTACAAATCAATTCCTTTAGTTGAAATGAGGTTGACCGAGTAACGGTCAGTTTCAAGCTCTTGGACATCGAGTATACGTGTTGCTAACTGGACGTCTGGCTTCGGGGATTTCCGACAGTTTGGATGGGACGTTTCGCATTCGGTGAGCCATTCACGGATCGTTGCGCTTCGTGATCGGAAATCAACCGGCTCTAGTCCACTCCATATCGGCCGGTTAAATGCTCTTCCTGCAGATGTTTAGAAACTTCTGGCTATTGTGGCTAAGAACACATGAGGCGTACCAGCTTCCATATAAAGAAGAAAGGATTTACCGCCTTCTCTCCTCCCAACAAAATGCCTGAGATATATCAATACTATCGCTCGATCGAAGTGCCCGTTCATATTTGAGATTGACTTGCTGGTGTCATAATTGATGCCTACTGTCGGTGTAGTTCTCGGCTCCCGGGATAAGAGATATAAAGTTGTGTACCCGCCGCCATCAAGACTGACGATGGTGTTCGCCGTATCGGGACTAGGTGTCTCTACTGGCTTCATATTGAATTCATTGGCCCGGGCGATAAAATCTTCTAGGTAAGATTTGCCAAAGAGATTACAAATATATTTACACAGCTCACATCGATCGCTGCAGTCGACTAGTTCATGAATATCCCGATGGAAGCTCGTATCTTTGTCATCCGATGGAATCTTCTTGAAAAACTTCTTAAGACACTCAGAGCAATAAGAATCGCTTCTCTCGGTGTGTTGAGTCTCATTGCGACCAGAACTGACAACAAGCGAATTCTGTCGCGACATGGCCATATGTAAGCTGCGACAAAGCGGCAACGAAGATAAAATCAATAGTGGAGAATATACTCCTCTTTAGATGCCTTCTTATAGACACAGTTATTGGAGAGAAATCCACTGCATAGTACTGTGCCGCATCCCAGCATATATGCTGCCTGGAAGGATTCACCCGGCCCAATGAATGCTTGCCAGCACTGCAGCGTCTCCATCTGGCTGCTCAGGCGCGCCCCATATTTCCCGAACGCAAGACACATTACTTCATACTGCTCCACTGAATATCGAAACAGCACAAAGTTGCTAAGCAAGTCGCTTCTCTATACTTCGTCTTCTTCATCTACTTTCGTGCAAAACGAATGTGATTGCGCAATATGTAGTTAGCGAATAGGATACCAGACTGCTGAGCAAAGTTGCCCCTGGACACCGCGGAGAAGAAGCAAACTGTATTCATGGGTATGATTCCAAATCTGGAAAAGTTCAAGCGAGAAGAAATAGACCTCAGCAGTGCATCTCAAGACTCAATCTTGCTAATGATAGCAAGGAGCGCAAGTAAAGCTGTCTCAAGTAAGCAGAGAATATTCACAGTAGCCGTCTTAACTTACAAGTTCCAACCGTTAGAATGAAACCAGCAACCGTGAAAGCCGTCTGTGCGTCACCACCTCTTGCCGTCCACGCAACACCCACTACAGTCGCCGCGACCCACGGCACTGACCCAACAAGGCCAATGCGGAAGCCGCTCCAGTCCTCCACAAACTCTAGAGCGTGACGGCGGTCCGCCTGGCGAAGCCGGAACACCCATTCAATCCACTCCGATTCCGTCTTTATGCTTTCGAAGTGTTGGTACGCATAGAAGATTTCTTGCAGAGTAAAGTCATCCATTGGCACGACTTCGGGACGGGTCGAAGGCGTATACGATAAGAGTCGAATTTGTCTTAGCGTCTTAAGCGATAGGTATCGTCGCCAAAAGCCGCAGATATGGTGCTCGTATTCGCGATGGAGGGCGGCGAAGAACTCCTTATCATTTCGAATCAAACCACCTGAATTCTTCACGGAAACTATTTTGGAGTAATCGTCTCGAGATACGCCCAACCTGGCTTGACTGAGTACATGGATTTGGCGTCTTACACAGCCCTGGCTACCAGATCTGTAGCACATCAGGTTTAAAGAGCATGTTGGCTTGGTCAGACTATCGGTACTCCGTGAACTAACTGTTTGGGTTGGGGGTAGGACGGAAGACTGGTCCACTCTAGGAGTTGTGGTTTGCTGAAGATGTGCTTGCTGATTGGTGGGTTGTTGAGGATGTGCATGCTGCTTGACGTCCGTTGATGTTACCGAATTTACCACTGACTTTGGCTTGAGCTGAGGATGTGCATGCTGCTTGAAATCCGTTGATGTTACCGAATTGGCCAGTGACGTTGGCTTGAGCTGGACTGGAGCATGGCGTGTATATTTTGGAGTATCTTCTCGTGGGTTTACGCCAGCTACTGTTCTCTGTAATGGGTGTGGTGTTGACCAGTTTTCGTGAACTTTATTGGATCTGTCCTTTGCCGACGCCGTTGGAGGTATCGCCTTGCTGATTGTGGTTAAGTGCGTGGGCTTTATCGCATCAGACTGATCAGTTGTGTCATTCCAATCGTAAGGAATACTGCACATTGGTTCGTATAGAGATATACGAGGAGGATCCACGCCGGAGACTATTGCACTAGACACTGCCAGCGTGTGGTCTAGTGCGTCGGTGAGTGGATCTAAGAGTCCTTCGAGACTGCTTTTCGGTTCGTTAAACCGGTCCATTTTTGATGTTCGACTGAAATGAAGATTGAAGATGGCAACCGTGCCAGCAATAAATCCTCAGTTCCTACCGTCAGCCGCGGCTGACTTTCGCCTTGGTTCGGCTCAGCCACCACCACATTATGCTCCGCAAGTGAAGTGAAAGTTTGCGTTAGTAAGAGATAAACATACTGAGGAAAGAGGTAAAATTATGCGATGGAAAACGCAAGGTAGTTTGAGAAAAGAGAAGTGTTCTGATGGGCTAAGCCTCCTCTAAGTGCGCACAGCCTTACATCCACCAGCTACCAGTCTACAATCTCAAGGCTCAGACTTGACTAGCGTCCCGATAAGGTTTCGAGATAGTTATGGGTGCCCGGTTCATTCCATTATAATTGAGTGAGTCGTAGTCACTTGACTTATTGTGAGCTCGAGCTGGACGTCATTCGGGTATGGGGTATTGCAGTTCCTGGAGTACGCCTATGGCTGTGCTCATGACCGGTATACGGGTTGGAAGACACTTAGCGATCCCAAGCGAGATGAATAGAAGGCGAGCTGCGTCTGTATTTTGACGGCCATCTGTAATCCATAGTCGGGTGGTAGTCTCTCTATTTCGCATGCACTAGGACGCGAAGAACGCATATTGATGTGTGAGGCTAGACATGGAATTTCTCCCCTCTTAGAGAATGTAGCTGCCTTCAATCACTCCCTCCTCACACATATCCACGATTATGAGATTGCGCCTCAGAACTATGTGAATATACATATCAGCTTATCACACGCCCAACTCTTGCCAGTGTTAGTTCTTCCTTCTTGTAACCTCTGCATGATACGTAAGAGATATGTGAGAGGAAGAAAGTGCTGGTTTTGTAAAATTCCAACTGAAGCAACCGAGCGGACAGAATGCAGAATCTCATGGATCGTGTAGAATTCTCAATCTGAATCAATTGACTTCATAATGGTGATTTCGGGCAGGCACTAAGTACTGACATTGCTGACAGCAGTGCAATAGCTCCTTTTTTCCGAGGCTTTCGGTGAAGTAATACAAAACCGGTGTTTTGCTCACAGGAAAGTGCTGCATGATGCTCCGCTGCTGCGTATCAGTGTCAAGGATGGTGCTCAGGAGCCACCACGCGCGGATGTCGCTCTCCACACGATCAAGCAAAAAGCCCAGCTCATGTGTATGAAACTCCCTTCGTTCACTCATAGTATTAGACCCAGCGAGAAGTTTTGTAGGGTTGTCGCCAATAGACCACTGACCAGTGTGTCCGAAGGTTTAACGGCGGGGATTTGCGCCATGCTTCAGCAACCTTTTGAGTACTTCGGCCTTCTCATTGCCCTGTCAGACTGCTTCGTTTTTACAAGTCGCACTCAAGTTTTCCAAAGTTCCATTTGCTTCGATGTCGTTCAGCTACGGCAGTTGAGCCGTGGTCATCCGGATTTCACAAGCCTCTGAGACACCCGGATCCTCCAGACGCTACATTCTCCGATAGCCCTAGTTCGTGTGGCGGAAGCCAAGGCTTGAGATGACATTCTCAAAGCCATTTTCGTACATCTTAAGCGGGAACTCGTATGATCTAGGCTGAAGGACACCAGTACATGACTTAATACCCATAAAGCGTAAACTCTTCAATGGGGAAGAGAAGTTGCTTCATCGTAGACAGTAGACTTAGCTGCAGGGCTACCGGTTGAAAGAAGCGATGCGACATCTTCGTGAGCCTTATGCGTATACCTGCTCGCGTTTGGCACGCCGTGTCGTGCGCTACCCGGAATCCGCCGCGCACGTCACTACCGGTGTCACATGGTGGAAATCAGGATGCCTTGTGTGGTGCAGCATTACGCCCGGAGAATATTAAGCGAAACCTAGACTGTTCTGTAATGTAAAAGAGGAGCCGTCTGGTGAAAATCCGATCACGATGGATGGTGTTGCTGTGCCTGAAATGCATGTCCGATCATGAGCGCGTCGGGCGCTTGAACTGAGAACTGAAGCTGAAGACGCCCACCATGGTTGAGTGTGCTAAAGTGGCAGTCTAGACTTGGATTTTGGATCCGTTCAGCCTATCAAAAAAGACCACGGCTCGTCTTACCACATGGCGCACCCAACGGCTCGACAATGGCGCACAAATGGACCGGGCGAGTGCTGGAGTGTGTGTAGGTGGTGCGCGCAGTCGAGGCCCTCGTTGGTGCTTTTTCAGCCAGCCCCGACCACCGCGTGCCTGCCCTAAGATGTCCAGTTCATGTATATCGCAGAGCTGCCCGACACATCCGGCTCACCATCACGACACAACACACTGCAACCAACTCATATTCATCTCAAGTCCATCTCCATTACCTTGCGACAACGAGAAGACGCGAAAAAATGGATGCGAAGCATTCACCTCCGAAGTGGGGTAGGGCTGAGTGGCAAATGAACGACAGGGCAGACCCCCACTGGGAGGAACCGACTGTGAGTATGGAAATACCATTTCATATTGAATAAAAATTAACAAAAAAGGCCTTGAGAGTCTAGTAAAGGCAATGATGATGATGAGGGAACGAAGCCCTTTCAGATACGATAATCCGCTCCATGTATCCCGACCAAGTATGCCAACTGGCCGCCAATTTTCCAACGCCGCAGCTACAGATTCGACAAAAAGAGAAACCATCTAATCATAAACGAACTTAGTAGTTGAAGACCGTCAAGGACGGGTTGAGGACGATGGGCACCAGGCAGTGCATGATTACAGTGACGGACCAACTGGGCAGCGTTAGCGACAGGCCAATCAAGTAGGAGTAGGAAATGGTACTTACGGAACAACAGCAGTCATGCCGGTAATCTCCCAGCCGTGAGGAGCGAAGCAGCCGAGGTAAATCATGGCACCGATGAAGGCAAACATGAGCATGTACATCCACTTGAATCGCTTCCAGATCTTGGGCAATTCGGCGAAGAAGTTGGAGTTGTCCTTTTCCTTGGCTGTGGCACCCCAGCTCATGTCGATGCAGAACATGTGAGAGCAGATAGCGAGCAGGATGTGGAACGAGACACCACCGAAGAAGACCATGAAAAAGGGCATCCACTTGATGTTTTCAAATAAGGCACCGATAAGGCTGGCCTCGCCGATACGATAACGCATGATGGCAAAGCAGGCGTTGGACATCAAGTTGAATACAACCAACAAGGTGACGAAGACTAGGTGATGTTAGCGGTGGAGCTATTGAGGGGTAGGATATGGACTTACTCTTCCAGGACTCGATGTAGTACTTGTCAAGCTCACCGTTGAGCCAACCGACCAGGAAGTAATTCAGAGCACCAAGAGGAACGGCGGATCCGATCGCATAGTACGAGAAGATGTAACCGCAGATAGAAATCTTGGAAGAAAGCTGAATGTTGGACCAGAGGAAAGTGCGGAAGAGCTTGGTAAAAGGGGTCTTCCATAGCCAGGTGTGGAGAGGGTTGAAGACAAGCTCGTTACAACCGTAAGCGTATTTCTCCCATCGATCCAATTCGTCGAAGATGGTGAGCGATACACCCTCCTTGAACCCACGGCCGTGGTAACTGGCAAGACGAACAATGTTGCCTGCGATCTGGAGACGAAGCGCGATATCGAAGTCCTCGGAAACGTGGCTCTCAGACCAGAAGCAGACGTAGCCATCTTCTTCGGGAGGATTGCCAACAGACTGAACAGCCTGCCAGCGCAAGAAGGCGTTGTGACCGACGAAAGGAGCGACCTCACCACTGCCGACAGCGAAGCGAATAGCAGCGTAGACGAGGTTGGTGAAGAAGGTGATACCGTTCTCGAAGTAATCCCAGGAAACTTGCATGACACCGGTGGCGTGTTGGACAATGGCAACTTCGGGCGAGAGGTACATTTCGGCAGCACCGTACATGAGGCAGTCCTCGGGAACAATGGTGTCGGAATCGACGATAAGAATAATCTCACCCATACGGATGTTGCCACCAGCTTTGGCGCGAGGGTCGGCGGTAAGAACCTGGTCGAGGGCCTCATGGTATAGCGCAAGCTCTTGCTCTTCGGTGATGGAGGCATTGCCGGGGTAGCGAGAGTCGACTAGTTGTTGGAGGACATCCTCGACACGGTTGGAGGTGTTGAGAGCAAAGTTCATGTTGGAAGCCTTCTTGAACTTTCCGCGGCGGACGAAGCCCTCGTGATTGTGCTTGGGACGCGAGACCCATCCGATGTTGTTGTTCTCATAAAAGCGCAGAAACTTTTCGTTGTCCTCCTCAGAACGAACGGCCATACCGTCATCATTGATGAAGATGCGTGCGGTTCCACCACGGGATTCGTAGTGAGAGATGGCGGCTTGCAGACTGGCTACTGTGGGCTTGACGACACCCTCAAGAGATTCAGTGTAGATGGGCATTTGAATGGTGATGGTCGACGGAGTGAAACCTAGAGAGCGGGCCTGGTTGAGATTCGGCTTGATGGCAGAGTGGAAGCGACTGTTGGTCAGGACACCGGTGATAGGACCAAAAACTTGGAAGATGTTACCCAGGACGACAACGACGAAGAAAAGACCCAAGGCGATCCAGAATGGCTCAACAAGGATGAGCAGAAGACGAGGGTAGAACTTATCAGTCATAGTCTCGAGGATAAGCGCCCTGTTACCAAGTCCCAATACTGGAACCAAGATCAAGCTCATGGCGAGACCGATGTAAAGGGAGCTGGTGAAGATGAGTGGACGAGCAAGTGATTCCTTGGGGCCCAGTCCCTTCTCGGCGTCGGCGTCGACTTCCTCAGTGGAGACTTCGACGTCTTCCTTCTTACCCATGTCGAAGTCCATCGTAGAGCCGCCAAGAGTGGAGTTTGCACTGGACTGAACGGCGCTGTCGAAGCCGCTGAAGGGGTTCTTCGCTGTACCCCAGACGAGACCGAGGATCCTGGACTCAACTTCCATTGCCTGAGAAAGAATAGCACCAAGGTCATCGTGCCAGACAAGCAGCAGCCTTTCTTGTCGGATGAGGGCAGCATACTGGAACTTGCGGATGGTGCTGGATGTAGAGACTTCAGCCATGGACTCGAATATTTGAATCTGGGAACCGTTCTGGAACATCAACTCGGTTTCAAAGGGCTCGAGGACATCGAACACGGCCTGTGTGCCATCGGTGCTCATGGTGAGAGCGACACCGGGGTTGATTCTCTTCACTGCGGCCACGAGATCCTGGTCCGCAGTTACGGGCTCCGAGACGTATTCTCCTTGACCCTTGCGGATCAAGACACCTTCGCAGGAGCCAGGTGATTGAGCTCCAGCAGTCATCCAACGCATGGAGCATGCCTTGGCGTGGAGATGCTTGATGATCTGGGGGAAATCAGTGCCATGACACGTGATGCACGAGTGGGGATACTTACAGCACGATATCTTGAATCTTCATCAATCTTCATGGTCAAGGGCCGCGACACGGGAGGTCGGCCATTGGGAGTTTGGGGCACCGAGTAGCGCGAGTCACTGACGCTGTCACTCAATGACTGCCTGCTGGAGGGGATGACGGGTCTGTTGCCATCCTGAGAAGGGGTAGCGGAAGACATGTTGGACATGTCACAATGATTACGGTACGTGAGTACAGATTAACGGTGATTATTGCTAAGCGATTGTGAAAAAGGCTCGACGGGGAATGCCACGAGGCAAACGTGACGTTCAAGGCCCAGAAACGAAAGAATGGGCAAGTAGCCCTGCGAAGAGTGACAGGAGTGAAGAACTGAAATCGAGCCGAAGGGGTTGCAGAGGAGAGGTTATCAAGGCGGCACAGCTGGTAGTGTGTACAGAATTTCCTTCACCTACGCGAAGCTCCGCCCCGGTCCAGCCCGTAGCCACCACGGTCAGAGATACACTCATGCTACACACTATCGAATAGCCGGCGTCCCCCCCCTGGTCTAGCATGTTCGAATCTCAACAAGAGTCACTACGCGAGCGTCCCGAAAAAGGTCATTGCGTCTGTCACAAACGCCGCTGTGCAGCCATGATAATCCAGAATGGGCGGAATCCCAGGCCACTAGGTGGACCTAGCGATCCTGACATGAAATCACACACCTTGCTGTGCACGCCCCGGTCGCTCTTCCGTCCAGCGAGCCTCGGTGTCGGGACGATGGGTAAGGCCACTAAACGATAACGAAGGGGTGCTTGATGGGGCTAAAGATGGTTGGGATTGTTTGTCATGATCGAGATCGGAGTCAAAAGGAGGCATCTCTAAGTTTCATGGTCGCTGGCATCTCCGACGCTTGTGCCTGAGCCAGCAAAATGGCGGCTAAACATTAGCTCTGCCGCTGCTGTTGACGTTTGTCCCGACGAGGAGAATTTACTTTTTGCAAAGGGCAACTATCGTCCTCGGCATTGGGTAGCGCCATCTACCAGCCAGCCTCAGTTTGACGGCGACTAGGAAAATGGTGGAGAGTGGGACCTCTTGGAGGTGCTTTGACCATGGCCAAACCGGGCACCCGGCGTCCAAAACCGTCAGAGGTGGCCAGTAACCCAGGCCAAAATCCTGGTAAGTTTCTGCAGGCCAAGACCGAAGAATGGGCCGCGTGTGGATTGCTGGGTGAGCGTACACAATCATACATATTGCTTTGAACTGACGCGGGCCTAGGACCCTGCGAATTGCTTTTATCTTTCGTCTATTTTTCCGAAACGTGGTGTAGCCTGACAGCACAGGTACAACGTGGTAGACGATAACCCTTGACTACGCATTGTCACCCGCTCCCAGCGATAAGGACCCTGGCGGATGTCCCGTTGTTAAGATTAGCATCATGGGCTGGCTAGATTGAAGGCATCTGTCCAGCACACCAAGCAGCTCGCCACTGGGCAGCCACACGTCGCAGACTGTTTGTCTCGAACCTTGAGGTTGTTGCATGACGCCATGCCCTCCCGGGCTATTTTTGAGTCAGTCCAGGTTCTAGTCGACAGAGTCAGACGGCAGGGGTGGAGTCGTCCAGGTGCGACACACCATGACGGTAGCGCGGTGTTTAGCCGGCCTACAGATAAGTCAATTGACAACGATGGGCCAACGTCCGAGCTGCAGGATTCTGGCCACCAACTTGCAGATACGGAGAGGGAGGGGGGAGGGCATCGTATCGACGACATGCAGGTTTGTAGAGGGATGTCTATGTACTAGTATCGGTCCCAGAGAATGGTTGAGAGGGCTGGTGCTCGAGTTCCACCCCGAGCCCGATCTAGTCGCAGGGGGGAGGCAGAGGACGGTATGAGTCGCGCGGCACTGTGACGAGATCGACCGGGCGCTAAATCTAGGCACGAACCACGAAGAGAAAGGATAGGTCGTGGCGTCGGACTGCTGTGCCGCCATGGAGGATGTTCAGCCTCGGGCCTAGTACGGGCGGTGCAGTCTCTATCGCCTCGCTAAACGTGTCGTGGCGGCACATCCTGGGCTGATGACTGCAAGGCTGTCACACTAGCCGCATGCTTATCTTAGCGACAACAACCTAGGTACCTGCATCTAGGCGAGCGCTAGTCTACTTTGCGCCCTGGTATCCAGCCACAGCCCACGTCCTGCCCCTTGCGCATGCAGAAACCATCAGGTCGGCTAGGCCAACTGGTGCTGGTGAACGTGTCGAATGTTCTAAATCTAGACTGGTAGAGCCGTCAGACTTCGCTCATCCCGACGACGGCCCAGCCAGCCTACTATCGATTTGTTCGAGCCGCAAAAAAAAAGCCAGACCGCTTGGCTGAGGTATTGATACCTCCGCTCTCAACACTGTCTGCCGCCGCCGCTTCAATTGTTTAATCAATCACCTATCCTCTCTTGGACTTGGATTCGGCAATAAACCCCCTCGTCCCGGCCCGCTCACCACTCGAGCCCTTCTTGGACTTTTGCACTCCACACTCGTTACTCCTCCCCCTCCTCCACGCAAACATGCCTTCTTTCTTCAAGCGTAACAAGAAGGCCGCCGAGGCTGATGCCCCGGCACCTGAGGCCCAATCCTCAGATGTCCCAAGCATTCCCGCCGGCATGACACAAAGACGTCCCGATCAGTCAGCAGCTGGTGGCTACCTGCCTAGGAATCCCTCCAACCTCTCCTTTGGACTTGGCAATGCTGAACTGCGGAAACAACCGCGACCATTCAAGAGCTACAGACTACGGGGAGAGTATGTTTTCTATATGCCGATTTCAATCTTTTGCACAGACTGACCAGCATTCCAGGCGCGAGCTGCCATGGAAGGATGACCCAAGGATAAAGCGCACCAAGATTGGCAACTGGATCACCTTCACTTGTATAGTCATCGGCTTGGGTCTCTCCGGTTACATCGCATATACAGGTGTCAACGAAGCCAAGGTTCCCGAAGGATGTCTCATCATGGATGACAATTTTGAAAAGATTGACCCCGCCAACTGGGGCTACGAGATTCAGGTAAGCAACCATGTCTACATTCCACTTTCGCCAAACTAACCACCCCAATCTTAGACTGGTGGTTACGGAAACGGCGAGTTCGACTGGACGACCGACGACCCAAAGAACAGCTATGTTGACGCCGAGGGTCTTCACATTGTTCCGACCCTGACGACCGAGTCTACGGGCATCACTGCAGAGCAGCTTGTCGATGGCTATACGCTCAACATCACCAAGGCAGGTGGTGACGGTTCTTGCACTTCGACCGACTACACATCCTGCAGCATCAGGTCCAACGCGACCACCGGTGCCATCATTCCTCCGGTTCGTTCCGCACGCATGACTACCAAGGGAAAGAAATCTATCAAGTACGGTCGTGTCGAGGTTGTCGCCAAAACCTCAAAGGGTGACTGGTTGTGGCCCGCCATCTGTACGTTGCATATGAAACTTGCGCCATAATATCGATGGATACTAACATTAATGTGTAGGGATGATGCCTGAAGATAATGTTTACGGCGAATGGCCCCGCAGCGGAGAAATCGACATTGCTGAGTTCCGCGGAAACGCATGGCCTTACCCCGAAGGTAACGACTTCATGTCGTCGACTCTCCACTGGGGCCCCAACTCCAAGCACGACGGCTACATCAATACACACGGCAATTCTTTCTACCGCCGCCAAACCTTTGCCTCGAGCTACCACACTTTCGGTCTCGAGTGGACCGAGAAGTACCTGTTCCTTTTCCTTGATTCCCGTCTCAAGCAGGTCATGTACTACAAGTTCACCGAGAAAAACCAGCTCTGGAAGAAGGGCGGCTTCAACGGTGTCACTACTGCAAACGGCACTCTTGTGGAAAACCCGTGGGTCAAGGGTGGTCTCAATGCACCATTCGACCAGAAATTCTACCTTATTCTCAACGTCGCTGTCGGTGCGCAGAACGGTTGGTTCTTTGACGGCGAGGGTAACAAGCCGTGGGTTGATGGCAGCGACTTTGCTCCTAGGGACTTTTGGAATGGTACGTTCTCTACATATCTCCATTATCATCTATAGAAAACACACTAACAATCGCGACAGCCAAGGATGAGTGGCTTCCAACCTGGGGCGAGGGCGCCGACCGTGGTATGACTGTCAAATCCGTTAAAATGTGGCAAGCCGGCAAGTGCTAGATGTAGCTTGCGCATCTTTGACCACTTTCGATATACACGGGTCCAGATGCACCCGTGTCTTTTTTACACTACTGAACGGCTGTTCTGCTTACTTTTTTGGTTTTTTGGGGGGTAATTGACACACAACGGCACGTTAGACGTTAATCGCACACTGGGATGATAGAGGCGCATTAGGCGCGTCTTGTCTGGGCACACTCGAAGCGCACGATACACATTTTTCTTACAAACGAGGTAAGCCCAAAAACTGAGTTGTAGAATTACATTTTAATCCATGTTCATTCTCCAAACCCCACAAATCTTACAATATCCCTTTGCGGCCCTTCCACGGACCTTTCTTGTTCCTTGTTGTTTTGTTTCTGCCTTCTCACACATGCCGTCTGACACGGGATTGCTGCTGACAACCGGCTTACGGTGGTGGCCTTGCATAATCGCATGATCCACCTCGGCTCGTGTGAAAAGTGCCGGCATTGCAGTGTAGATGCTGCAAAAGGCCATGGGGATAATTGTGAACGCCACACTCGAATTTACAAAAGAAGCAAAGATTCTTCCACCTCGTCATTAATGATGTCTCTTGTGGCCAGAAGCCGGGCTTCCATGCTACATCTAGAAGCGCACTTCGGAACTGATACCAAAAGCGCGCACCTTGCTCGCTGGTGCATCTTCTCAATCCAGCCAACGTACGTATACTTGATTCGCCCAATTCCGCATGGCACCCTCGCCTGCATGCCCTCTTCCGAGTGCGAAACCGATAAGCCCATCCGAATGCAGCATGTTAGCCCTTCCGCCGGCATCCACTGCAATCGACTTCATCCCCATCTGCATCGCAAGTGCAGGGGCAGCACATGGCTAGCCCAGCTCCTTCGTACCAAGCCTCGCTCCCACCCCCACTCCCCATGTGCATTATCTCGCTGTAACGCACTCTATTTTCCCTACCCACCACATGCACGTACAACCCCCCCCCCTCCACCCGCACAATCCTTCGCTCGCCCCCCGTCCGCCCCTCCCGAGCCACGCGCTCGCCAATCCTTCAAAATCTCAAATCTTTTTTCTTTCCTGCGCAACGAATCTATCTAGGTAAATTAAATTGCAGCGGTGTGGCGTTGTTCGCATCTACCATGACGCCTCGCGCATGCCGCCGTTCCGATTTCGCACTCTATACTACCCTAAGCCGAGATAGTAGCTTTCAGCCTTCTACGTAGCTCTTCCCGTGTTATGGTCAAACAAAAACACCCGTCTACGTACATGCCACATGTTGTTAGGCTCTTGTTGCGCCGCAACATGCAAAACTAAAGCTTTCCAGACGCTATTGGCAAAGCGATGGGAGGAAAAAACGCCAACCGCACATCCGCGGTGCCTCACCCTTTGTCAAAACTGTTGTGCCGTCTAGCTAGTAGAGACCAGCACCATCCCATCCCATCCCAACCTATCCCATTCCAATTCCAACCAGCTAGCCAGCGCAGCGCAGCGCAGCGCAGCGCAGCCGCAAGTTATCGGCCGTAACCCCCCCTCCCCCCCTTTAGCGCCAGCCCTTCCCTCCCTTCGTATTCAGTCTCCATTTTATCTTGTTTTTTTCCTCTCTCTCTCTCTCTCTCTCTCTCTCTCTCTCTTCACCCTCTCGGGCGCCTGCGTAAGACGACTTTGGACGCTTTTCCTTGATTCCCTAGTTCAGCTCGTAAACAAAATAGGGCGAGTGGAATTCGGTCGCACATGCAAATACGAATCCGGTAGTCGAAACGCGGTTGAGTCGGGGGGTCGTCGGTCCAAGGTGATTGGGTTAGAATGGCGTTGGCGGTAGCGTGGGGATAAGGTACAGGGGGGGAGTGAGCTAGGCGGGGCTAGACGGACAGGGTTCCGATGGGAGTAACAGGGGTGCCACCGACTGTGGAGGTGTGTGTGAGGATCGTGGATGGTGGGTGGGCCGTTTCAACCGGACAGTTTTTTTGCTTGTTCGGAAGCGGGATTGCGGATGGGCTTTGCCTTTTTTTTGTGTTTCCTTGTTTTGCTTCATTGCGGGATATTAGATGCAGGCATGGAGGATTCTTCCTTTCTTTTTTTTGTTTTGAGAATTCTACGGCATCGCAGTCGGCATTGTTGCCGGATTTGCGCATGTGAATTTGCTTGTTCGTTCAAAGTGCCGGCTTTGCTGTTTTGCCCGCCTCGTCCACACAACCCCCGGCCCGGTACCTGTTTCATACGGCACTGCGTCTGTGGCTTTTTTGAGCTGGTAAAAAGTGGCGTTTATTGTGCATCTGAGTTATTACATTACAGGACCTAGAGAGAGGCAGAGATAAGAATAGGGAGTGAGGGCATATCCCTAACATGGCCGTTTCAGCGCACTGATTAGTGTTCCGGCAAACTTCCTGGTGTTCGTTTTTTTATGGTTTTCCTAATCTGACGATCCCCTCCCCTTCAACACACTTCGTTACACCCCCTCGACAGACGACAGTCTAATACGCCACAAATGACGATACGAAAGGGGTGCTTGCGTGCGCGCACGCGCGCGACGGCGTGTCATGCATGTGTAAGGGCGCCCGTCAACCAGTAAGTCAGTTATAGTGACGCCTAGCATCGCTATCGCAAACTAGTGATACGCTGTGGAACAAGCACCACTTGCACAGCACACAAAGCACCCACCCTTTCAAATTAACACAACTCTTCTCAAGGGCTTCTGTCATCAAATTAGAAATGTGCGCGTCATAGCAAATAATTAATCGTACCATAACACCCTTGGCGTACATGTGTTGCAACCCCCCCTTCGTTCGCTCGCTCGCTCGGCGGTATGAACCTAGCAACAACCCCCTAGCAAACGTTGTATCAAAGTACCTGCATGATGCCGGTGAGAAATCGATAAATTGGCAAACGCAGCTGTAGTAGTGTAAGTCACCGCACAACGTGTTTCCTTACAAACCACTCGTTGGATAGCAAGATAAAACACGAACCCTAGAACCGCGGAACCCCCAGTTGGCGTGCCCCCCCCCCCATCAAGAAAAAAAACAAGCAAAGCAAAGCACATGAAGAAAAATCGCCGCGCGCGTAGTTTGCTGACTGATTCCCCTCTTTCCTTCCCTTATCCCTTTACCATTTCCTGTTTTCGCTTTTTCCGGACCGCCCATGTCTCCCACACACACCCGCCCAGCTGCTGCCTGGGGCCTTGGAAGAGGAAAAAAAGCTTGGTCACTGCAAAAGCGGGAAGGGCAAAGGAAAGCGATAATGTCGGTGTTTCTAACAATATATTGCCTTCACTGATACCATGTATGCGGTTTGAACATGGCATTTGGGGGGCCTAGACAAACGTACGATACTGATACGCACACAAGGATTTTTTTATGCATGCATACATACATATGTACATACATACACATACGGCGGGGGGGGGGGGGGGGTTGAACGCAAGTCCCATGCAGCCCGTTATCTTAGGGAAAATCCTTCGTACTGGATTATTAAACACAACTAGGTAGGTAACTATGTACGATTTGCAAAATCAGGTGTTTTTTTTTTCGTTTTAATTTTAGAGTGAATCCAACGAGATGATAAATGCTGAAGGAATTCGCGCGGTTATCTATGATGCCTATGTTTTCTCCCCACGACTGCCCGTTTGTGGATGGTGTCACATGGGCGCAATCGGAAGGACTAGGTGCCGAAAGCGGTATCCACAATTTTAACTGTTACTAGGTCTACGTCTTTGTTGAGAGAGTGAGTGAGTGAGTGACAGGCCAGGCACGTTTCTTTCTTTCTTCTTCTTCGGTTTGATGATAAAAAAAAATAAAAATTGGGGGCCGAGATACGATTTACTATGCGCAATTGGCATGATATGCGATCCCGGAAACTCGAGTATCCGTTGACGAATGCGGTGTTTTTGCGTTGTTCCTACCCGCTTCTTTCCACTAACTATCACCCACCCCCATGTCAATTACTGCTGATTGTGCCGTCGAGCCGCAACCTTGACCTGGAAGTCGCGCGGCTTGACGAACCAGTAGTTTGTCGTCTTCCACTCTTGATCAGCCGCTTGCAGGTGGCTAGCCAGTGTAAAGTCAAAGTCGCGAACGAGCATGGGGATTAACTTGTACATTTCCAGAAACGATATGTGTCTTCCGATGCAGGTTCTTGCTCCGAGGCCAAACTGCGCAAAGCACGTGTTTTAGTCAGTAAGAAAACAAATGACACCCGAGGTACAGGATTGGGTAGTAGGATAAAAAGGGATGCGCACGCGAAGGTGGCGATGCGCGAATTGAGGGCAGGAGTCGCAATCAATAGATGGATGACGAATCCATTACATACCGGCATCCAATGTCGCTCCATGATGGCGAGCTTCTCTTTATCGCCAATAAGCCAGCGCTCGGGTCTAAATTGGTGTGCATCTGGACCAAAGATTGTGCTATCGCGGTGTGCAACCCAGGAGTTGATTCCGACAATAGTCTAACACAAGTTTATCAGTAGCCGTATATGCACATCTTTCAAGCTGAAAACCATTTTACGTTAGCGCGGCAACTTACGCCTTCAGGAAAGTATACATTGCATATCTCTGCTCCACCTGCTGGCACTACACGCTCCATTGGGAGGCCAGTCGCAGGATGCATTCTCAGTGCCTCTTTCATCACCGCCTGGAGATAGGGCATTTCTTGGCTCTCCTTGAATGTTATATAGTGGCCGCTGTGGCCTTGTCGCTGGCGCTCATCGACCTCGCGCCGCAGTGTCTCAAGTGTGTGAGGATTCTTAAGCAAGTAATAGAGAATAGTAGAGAGAGTAATGGCCGTAGTATCCGAGCCAGCCACCATATTCGACACGCACCCCGAGGCGACATGGTACATGGTAAAGGACTCTGGAGCGTCAGCATTCTTCATAAAGAACTTTGTCAAAAAGTCCATGCTCGTTTTCCCTTTCTCTGCTCCATCCACCGGTAGCCCCTTTGTCTGCTCTGCCTGATGCTCTGCGATGCGATCTTGAGTAAACTTTGCCACATATGCTCGCCCTGTTCCTGTTGGACCAGCCAGCCAATTGCGAATGGGGAAAAGGTATTTGTGCAGCCAGGAGAAGATTCCAATAAAAGTTGCGTATTGCAAATGGTCCTCCAAAACCGCCATTACGCCACGAATATCCGTACATTTGTCTAGAAACCCTAATCTTTTCGAGTACGTTATCAGGCCAATGACATCGAATGCGTAGCACTGCATCCAATGCCCCATATCTGCGTACGTGCCTGCATCGGCAAGTTCTCCAAGACGCTGGCTAAAGAGATCCGTGCACTCGTCCACATATGGCTCGTAGGTGACGAGCGAGGACATGCTGTAGGTGCTTTGGTACTGTCGGCGATTGTCGCTATGGCGTTGGATTGATTGGTCTGTGAAGAGAGACCATTGTGATGGACCTGGATTAGTCCATGTCGCATACCACGATGACTTTGGGTACTTTGAGCCGTGGCCGTAGATGGTCTTCTGCGCCGACAGTGAAGAGAAGGAGTACCGGTTTGGTCCGTAACGGACAACCTCGCCTGCAGCCAGAATTTAAGTCATCGTCTCTGGTATATATATCTGGTTTGGAGAAGGTGGTTGAATCACCTATGATAAAAGGGGCACGACCTACCGTATTTTCGATGCAACTCGATATTTTCCCACTCAAATCGGCCTTTTCGGACTCGCCAAAGATACCAAAGATCAGTGAAGCGGGCAGCAAATGGGCCCGGCACGTTGCGAAGGGGTGAGAAGAATGTTTTCAAGAATGGAAATAAGATGCGTGCTACGAGCGCAATAGCAGCTGCACCCACAAGAACCGACAAATGCATTTTCGCTGCTCTAAATCAGTGATGAGGAGTTAGTTGTTATTCAATCGATGGATCGCGATGCGGAGCACGAGGCATTTTGCGGCATTCCTGGATGCTTATATGATTATTCCAGTTATTGTTGTGCGGGGAAACCATGACGCAGACAACGGGATGGATAGCCAGGTGCGGGGTGTGACTTCGTACGAGCTCGATGCCCGCGTGATGGGCGTGAAATTATTTCCGGCTTTGGGATTACTCCGTGTGGGAACGATGGCATGAGAGGTCTGTTCTATGGAAATGCTCAAGTTTTGTCGTGATTCCGTATCTGGTGTGGTACCCGAGGTAATGGCTTTTGTATAACGAGCGTATTGTGGAGCGTATATAATGTGAAGAGAAAGGTGAATACATTAAAGAATAGCTATAGAGGCACTAGAAGAAATAAGACCGATGTCTGGGTCGATTTAAATAACTAGAATTTTAGTGGGAAGAAAAGCATGCGCATCCCAGCCTCCATGTACCAAAAAAACAACATCGCAGTTTCAAGCAACTTCTAACCTGGTCGTATAGATTCTTCTCGACCCACAGCATCATTCAGGTAAGTTCAACTAACGTTGGATATGCTTCTGTACGGAAAACTTGGTATACATGCTACTAGACACAAAGATTGTTTGTTAGCTTGACTGCTGATCGACCACAACAACTAAAAGGACTGAGTGTTAACAAAAGCAAAATTCGTTTATCTGAATATGATAATATAGCATACTTGTATATTTGGAGGCTAAGAAAATTACAGTAACTTCCATTTGACCGTATGTAGAATCAGTACATCGTTAGTAGACCACGTCTACATCCTCTATGGACAACGTCAAATGTATAGATGATGATGAAGAGCCTCTTGAGCATGCATTGAAACCACGTTTACAATACGTTTTGATCAATATTTTAGGCTATGTAGGTTAAAATACAAGTTGCCACAAATCTGTCAGTCGTTCATTGTTCTCACCCAATCCTCCATGAATGACAATGCTATCATTACCGCTCTCAGCCTTGACAACATCAGCGTCAAACCATCCACGTGGATCAGGCACACCGTCGGTGCCTTCAGGTTGAAGCTGCGTCCACCATTTCTCGGTGATGTCATAGATCCAGACATCGCTTAGCATCTTGCCTGCTCCAGCGTGGCCCAGTGACGAAGGGTCGTGTTCGCCAAAGAGCGTGAGAAGCTTGTCCTTATGAGCGAGTCGGACTGGTAGTAGAACACAGACGCTGCGGGCTGGGGGTCCGTTGTAGCCGTCAGCTTTAAAAGTATCGGTGGACCACGTGCTGTTTGCAATGTCGAATATGTCGATGCTACCACCTTGCTCAGTGGTACCGTCGAAACCATTCATTCTGTAGAGTTTGCCATCGTGGAAGGCGATCGAAGCGCCGCCACGCTGAGAGCCTGGAGCATCCGGTGCTTGGGTCCATGTACGGTTGTTGATGTTGAACATCCACAAGTCGGAGAGGCGCCCCTTTTCAGGACATCCGGCATGGAGGAAGAAAGTCTCCTTGCCATCACTAGTGGAGCAATGATAGCTGCGTGCTGGTGGATAGGGTGCTGATGAATCAGCTGGGGTGATCTTTGTCCATGACGAGCTTGCGGGATCGTAGCACCACACTGCGCCTTGTTCCTCTATGGGCGCCATGTCAATACCCCCGCGTCCAGAAAACAAGTGCATTTTGCCATTGAGAACGGCTGATGCGCTTCCTACTCTTGGGCTGGGTGCTGAAGAAGCCGACTTTGTTTCCAGGCTTGTTGCACCTGTTCCCGTTTTAGCTATGTACCGTGATGGCCTGTTCAGATGAGGGGCATACTGGGCTTGAGAGGAACCACATCAACCTTGTCATCTATGGGCTCTCGAGGCTTAATCTCACCACCAAAGATGCAGACGTTTGAATCGACAACTGAAAGTACTTGAGAAGAGCGGCGCAATCGCTCATCGTTCAACAGACGCTTCCAGGAGCCCTTGAGGGTGTTGATTGGTTTACCAACTGGCATTGTGAGTTCTTGTTGCTGTCCAAACTGTATCTGACTTGAAGTGAGAATGGCAGAGAGTGCGATAATAAGAGTATGAACCGTCTCAGATCAGGTAAGATGCATACAATTGCGTCATGCGGGATGAATGTCACTGTGAAAGATCGACCGGCGGAAACGCGCTAATACCAAAACATACTAGTGAGCGCGCATAGATCGTCATTGGCCGCGGCTCCATGTCCAAAAGTTCGCGACGCAGATGACTTGGACTTGTCGCAAACCACATGCAACTTGACGTGCCGAGATGAGACTTCGATTGACGGTGCAGAGGAACGGTCTGCCCGCTGCCAACATCCTCTGGAGCGTTCCCGAAACCAATAGTACACAGGCGTACACCATTACGCGTTTGCTGGAGGATGTCAACCACATTATCCCGCTAGAGGCTGAGCACTGGGGCCTGGAGCATTATGTCGTCGAGGTGGGCGGCTTCGAGTGTCTTCACTTTATGCCTGTCGTCAATGCGCTCAAGGAAGATGACCATGTTTCGTAGGTAGCATCATGCTAACTGTGCGGCTGTATGCTTACAACTCGACTCTAGCATCCGACCGCTTATGACAGCAGAAATACGCGCGCGCACCCTCACTGGCCGCGACCAGATATCCGACGGAGGTCAACACCTTGTAGATGGCATTCCTTTCGGTCGACCCTACCTGCGACAGCCAAACCGACCGCCCGTTCGCATACCTCCACGCAAGCGACGCCGACTCGACGACGGAGAAGCAGAGGCAGAGCCGGAAGCCACAGCTTTACTTATGGAACATGGTGAAGAAGTCGAAGAAGAAGAAGAAGAGCCTCTTCCACTTTTGAACGGTCATACAGTCTCTAGGAGTGGTGTAAACAAGTCTGGGAAAGAATCCAAGACGGTACACTTCCAGGAGCCAGAGATTGATGAATCAGATGATAGTGAGGAAGATGACGACTTTGTGCCAGGAGATGGCGACGAATCCGCCTCTTCTGCCGAAGATTCAGAAGACGACTCAGATTCAGATTCGGGCTTGGCTGCCAAGCACGGCAGTTCATCGAGCGCCTCAGACACGTCAGACTCAGGGTCAGATTCAGACTCAGACTCAGATACGAGTAACTCCGACTCCGGCTCTGACTCCGATGACAGCGATGCAAGCGCTCCCCCTGACGTTCTATCATCCAAGGACGGCCGCAAGACTACAGCAACAAAGCACGTTCCTCCAGGGCAGGGACTCAAAGCCACAAAGGTCCGAAACTCTCGACGCACTAGAGTAAATCGTCTTCGTCGGCTGATAGCATCTGGTGTGCTCCCTGAGGGTGCGGGTCTGAGCGACCTGAAGAAGTACGAGGAAGGAAACTTTGGCCAGCCTGAAGCAGAAGAGGTCTCTGCTAGCACACAGCCCTTTTCCAAATCGCAAGGCAAAAGAAAACGCTTAGATGACGAGGGTTCTGCAGCTGAAGATGCTTTACAGCTTGAAAAAAGAAAACAAGAGCTGATGGCAAAGTTTGGAGATAATCTGTCTGGTCCTGTGCCATCAATTGACTCGGTGCAAACGCAGACAATACCATTGGATGAAGCACCCGCTGAGAAAGCAGTTGCTTCGAGAAGGCTACGACCAGATACTGCTGCAATTGGTCGGATACTTGCTCGGCAAGCAGCACCAGTGGCTAGAAAGGGAAGAAACAAAGCAGCCGTGGATGAAGTCGCGGAGCCTGAAGGGGCATCAGACCCTGATTTCTGGAAGTCGCGTATCAATGTGTCTGCCTTTGAGTGTTGGGATGAGGAGTTTGAGCTTAGTGCTCCGCCGTTTCCATTCGAGCAGCACTGGGACCCTGCTAGTAAGGCGATGCGGGAAAAGGCGGCAAAGAAGAAACAGAAGAAGAAGCAGAGTCATGCACCACAACAAACATATGCAACGCAGGAGGAAGATGAGGAAGATGAGGAAGAGAAGATTATTCTGGACTACGACGATGCCCCTGCAGCCAACAATGAGTCGGAGATTATAGATGCAGCGATTGAGGATCAGCTCCAACAAGACCTTGCGACAGCCGGGCAAATCGATTTGGCGCCACTGCCCGAGGACATGAGTACTTTGCCTGATCTTACCGCAGCGGACATGAAGAAGGGTGCGATAATTGCATGCAAGTTCTTTACCGTTAACCCTATCACTGTCACACCTGAAATTAGCGGATTCAAGACTGCGACTGTGGAGCACGAAGGGGACTCAGGACCTGGCGCAGGGACAATCCAATTGAGGATTGCAGCGCGCGACCTGGTCAAGAAGGAGAAGAAGTTTGACGGAAAAGGCAATCGAGTCTACAATGCGGCTGATGCATTGCTGATGGAGAGTGACGACGAAGAGGATGGCTTATGGGAGGGGCAGTTTGGCGAACTCTTGGAAGCAAAGCTGGTGAAGGCTGCATAGAGCGGGACTGGCTATTGTAGCAATGTTACTTTCTCGCCCATGTATTAGTATATCCAAATGCAACCATATATTCTCTGTGTACATGTGGATGTATTCTTACCCCAGAAGCATGCGACCCATGTGTCGGCCGCAAAAGAGAAGAGTAAGGCCGAGGAGCCGTGGGGGCGTGGTGGGCTGGAAAGACAGGGTCTGTATGTACCCCACCAAACGTCATGTTAGCCGCCTACCATACATGAGCCGCATGAAGCAGGGATCCCAACCCACTGCATTCGCCATTGAGAATAAACTTTGTTTTGGCCATGTGTGCGCGGGCAGCTTCTGCACCAATCTTACATGTCTGGCGAGCAGTTTGATGCAACAGGCGGCTGCAACTCGGAGTGTCATTGTTGCGAGGGCTTTTGCCGGGGGCCAGGAATCCATGTCCTAGCCTGGCTCTAACAACTGCCGTGGTGGGGTAGCCTCAGGTTTGGTGTTAGGAATGGATGCATCATGCAGTAATGCGGAAGAGACCCTTTACAAATTTTCGGTTCTTGTATTCCGTCGCATGTCCTTAAATTCCTGACAATCCCGTCTCTTTTTTTCACTGCACCACCCTCTTCACAAAAACATTAATCACCATGCCTCTTCCCAGTGGTGTATACCGCGCCGACCACGTCGGCTCCTTCCTTCGCCCCAAGGCAGTCCTCGAGGCGCGCACAAAGGTCGCCAATGGCGAAATCACAGCCGAGGAGCTTCGCAAGGTCGAAGACGAGCACATTGCCCATGTTGCAAAGCAGCAAATAGACAACGGCCTGCTTTCCATCACCGATGGCGAGTTCCGCCGCGCCTACTTTCACCTCGACTTCCTCAAGAACGTCGCCGGTATTGAGGAGAGGGGCCAGGTTGGAAACATCAGGCACAAGGACGGTTTCTCCCCGCCAACCCTCGTCGTAACTGGCAAGCTCGGCCACCCCAAAGCTATCCAGGTCGACGACTTCAAGTTCCTTGAGCAGGCCATCAAGGACAATGGCAGCTTGGCCACAACAAAGGTCTGCATTCCTTCGCCCACCATGGTGCACTTCCGTGGTGGCCGTGCCTCCATCGATATCTCCGCCTACCCCGACCTCGACGTTTTCTTCGACGACCTCGCACGCGTCTACCAGGAGGAGCTCGACTCCCTCTACCAGGCCGGCTGCCGCTTCGTCCAGCTCGACGACACAAACCTTGCCTACCTGTGCGACCCAGACATGCGCAAGGCCGCCGAAACCGAGCGCAACGAAGACCTCAGCACCCTGCCGCGCAAGTACGCCGAGCTCATCAACAAGGCCATTGAGAAGAGGCCCGCCGACATGAAGATTGGTATCCATCTCTGCCGCGGTAACTACCGCTCCAAGTGGTTCGCCTCCGGTGGCTACGAGCCCGTCGCCGAGGTTCTCTTCAAGGAACTCAACGTCGACGCCTACTTCCTCGAGTACGACGATGCGCGCTCCGGCGACTTTAGCCCCCTGCGCCACCTCCCCGAGCACAAGGTCGTCGTTCTCGGCGTCATGTCGAGCAAGAAGAACACACTCGATGACAAGGAAGAGATTATCAAGAGGCTGCATGAGGCTGCCAAGATTACGCCAAAGGGTCTTGACCAGTTGTGTGTGAGCCACCAGTGCGGTTTCAGTTCGACTGCCGAGGGTAATGAGTTGACGGAGGAGGAGCAGTGGGCCAAGGTCAGACTTAATGTTGAGATTGCAAAGGCCGTTTGGGGTGATGATATCTCCAAATAAATCCTCGAACCTGGAGAGTGTCTATTGAAGACACGCGTGGGCGATGTGGGAAAAGGCGTTTTCCAGCTTTTTTTTCGTTTTTAGGGAGAGCTTTACATATTGCATGCATCGGTGTGAGGATGAAAGAGCAAGAGCAAGAGATATCCCAAGGTGTAGTAGTATCGGGGAGCGGCATCGGCGAGAGAGAGAGGTTCTGTTTGAAGCGAACAACAACAACGACGAAGATGATGATGACCCATGACGACCATGATAGTATGCCCGATCATATTGGTCTAGAAACCCCCCCTTCTCTGTCCTTTATTTTTTTGAGAGAGAACATTGCCTCTTCAACTGAGGTCAAGGGTCCAGTATAACCAAGTGCTTCTTGGATATATGTACATATTTTGTAGGAATAATCAATAGTGGTTCAATCCCTCCACACACACACACACACACACACACACACACACACACACACACACTTTCACATACGTGTCCCACTTTCCCTTTTATTTTTTGCTTTTTAACAGGAAATAAAAAGGATGGGAAAAGTAAAGAGAGGAACGGAATTTATACCGATATCGCTGCCGATGCCGATGCCGATACTCAATGCTTTTTTAGCTGCGATATACGGAGATAGCGGACGGGTGGGGACAGTATCGAGCCGCGAGTCTTACGATGGATAAGATAATCTCTCTTTACCTTTGATTATACGTCAATAATAGCGGAGTAGAGGGTTAACTAAGGCTAGAGAAGAATATGAAAGGGTTGAAAGCATTAACTAGAAAGCTTGATCTACCATACAGGTAGGCCTTGTGTCGTACCAGAGTAGAGTAGAGTAGAGTAGTTATAAACCCATACTACTCGCCATGCTCAACCCATCCTCACCTTCCAATCAGCCGAAGTTTTCAAACAGGGATCGTATTCGACGAGAGCTCAGCTCCACCGCGCCACGTGGCCCCAAAAAAGGGTACAACATACCACATAGTTAGTATCTGAGAACTAAACAGCTACATACGCATAACAAATCGAAAACCATCAAAACGGCCCGTCTTGAATAAGCAGCGGGTCTCCTGCAGCACTCTCCAACTACAATTAGTACACTAAACCTTTTAATGAGTAGTAGCCAGGACATCATCTTGTCCAACCCCACTATGCTCAAGTCCAACCTACCTTTATCTTCATCGGAAGGTAAATAAGGTAGCAAGCACCACGAAGTAGCCATTATCAGCCTTGTCAGGGTACAGTACTTACACAGCAGAGCTCAAGTATATCGTCCATGTCATCCGCGTCATACCAAGTGGTCAGTGCGTTTGTGTCGATTGTCCACCCCTGGCAATACTATATACCTGACAGGGGTTGGGCGCTCTCTTTTTTTTTTTGAAAAAAAAACACACGACTACATATCGTTCTTATATTCATAATATCGGAGTTTGGTATTTCCATCCCCCCCCCCCTTTCATGCTCGGATGTCATAGGTAAGCTAGAAAAAGCTAGAAAAGCTAAAAAAAAAACGGCCTACTCACCCCTCCAGTTTCTGGGAGAACAAAAAAGCAGGATACCTAACAATGTGGGGGATGATCCCCATGTTTTGAAGCTAGATACACCAAAGGTCAGCAATGTTTGTGTGAATGTAAAGAGCTTTGATCTTTTCTTTTCTTTTTTTGTTTGCAGCCGAGAGGGGGTGTGCTATGTCTCCTCAATCACAAGTGTGAGAGGATCCGGCAGCCATCTCGCACCTATATATTCAAATGCGCCATTTGCCAGTGATATATTGCTTTTTTTGCAAGTAGTCCGGGACTGGGGATTTTGCCATCTATGAAGGGAGATTGGCCGGATGGAAACACAATGTTGTAGCCCACCGTCTCATTACATGTTCGAAACCACAAGTTTGGGGGGGGGGGGGAATAGTTTTAAAATTACATGTCGGTCATATTAGGGTCTGATCCAGCCTATTCTCTTAATGGGCCAGTCCAACCAAGCTCTATATTCTGTGGGCAGCAAGTCCCAAATACCGCTCACGATGTGATGTGTCCATCCTTGCATGTACCAAAACTGTTCGAGAATACGCACTAGGACTACAAAGTGTGCATAGATGATCATCGGAACGGGGTCGTGCTGCTGCAGCCGCTCTAGAAAGTCGTCCGACACACGGTAGAGCCACCCAAACGACACGTGGTACTCGCCCTCGCCACTTCGATAACGATTTTCGTACATTTCTCGGAGGATGTAAACAGCCTCGACATCGTTCCTGTAGCCAGGCGTGTCTTTTGACATGGAGCGCACAAACGCCATCAGGCTCTCCAGCTGCTTCTCGTAATCTTCGGGTTCTTCTAGGGGTGGCAACGGGGGTAATATCCCGTTTGCTGCAGCTGCACTTGGTCGCTCAGATTGCAGTAGTTCAACGTTTGACGAGGTTGCTCGGATGCCGCGGAACATGACCAACCAATCTGATTTCTTATCTCGGCCAAAAGCAAGGTATTCCCCAGGTTGCGGACCTCGACCCCAGCTGATAAAACATATCAGTTGTTCGGCAAGCAGTATTGCATCAGAGTTCTCAGGATTTAAGTTTGTAATCTGTGGTGTAACCAGAACCAGAGCGCGCTCGTAGTGACGGTCGGCCATCGCGACATATTCCTCCTTGCGGTGCGGACGCGAGTATGCCAGATGCAATGCTGTGAATGCAAGCATCAAGTGCAGGACGTATGGATGCTTGAACCCGATTTCGGCCATTTGGTTTTGCCGCGAGGCACCTCCAGTGGGCCATGCTGAGAGGGTGAAGCAGGTTGATGTTGCATAGTGGTACGTGAGCTCGATCTCGGGCGTAGGCAGCTCTCCAGGAATGGAATTGAGGCCGCTTACTTCATGATACCTGGGCGAGGGAGCCGCTGGTTCAGTGAAGTCGCAACGTACTTTTCGATATTTACAGTTGGTACAACCTGGCCTCGTCTCGTCGTACTACAAACGCTCGTGTTAACACCTTCTTCTTACGATAGCCGGTGCATTAGGAGTCAGGTCCCGGATGCTTCCTGCGGACCATCTGCGGCCTCTCAAATTACTAAACTCCATTTCTGCAGAGCTCATCGGCCTTTTTTTTCGGGATGTGCAAGACCTCAGACTTGTCGTACCTTGATGCGGCGCGCCTTGCAATTCTTACAACCAGCACGCGATTTGCGGTGCGATCGTCTTGTTGTCTTTTTGGCGGGATTTTCGCCTTCATTCGCAGAAGGTGATGCTGTGTTAGATTGCGTGAATGACATGTGGCGGGTAAATAAGAAGAAAGGATGTTTCTAGGTGAGAGGGTGCGCGTAATTGAATACGAGGAAATAGCGTGCTCGTATTTGTATACGGGAAAGCGGGAAGTTGACATGCGCCACGCATGCCTGCCCCACTCACGACATCGCCGCTTTAAGTCCTCATGGGTTACTAAGCATTTTCAACGCTGCTTTGGGCTACCTAAATTTCTCTACCACAGGCGGATCAGGCAAGGCAGACACACTCGTGCTGGTTTGGATTTTCATCCTGCCATTCAGATGTAATATTTGTAGGCCCCATCTCTGAGACATGACATCAGCTGATCCCGATCAAGGCCTCTGAAATATTGACAACGAAATCGACAGTCCTGTCATTGTCGTAGCACCGACCTTTTAGTCGGAAATGCTACAATTCCGTGGGCCTTTCCGACTATCGAAAGGCTAAAGGGAAGGAATAACGATCAACTTGAAGGTTTTACTAGGACTCAGAAGAGTCAACTCTGTTTCGTGAGAGCGATCTTTGCGTTCATCTTTTAGCTGAGCCCTTGCGAAAGACTGTGAAAATAATCAGATCCACCAGACATGACTAAATGCATAACAATGCAACTGAGATCATACCTGGAAAAGTGCGCAAAATTCCACGCAGTAAGATTCACCTTGAGAAATATGCGAGAAGACTTTTGGCTACACTACCAGTTTCCAAGCTCAGCAGCCGAACCGGTAACCTGGGACAGCCTCCCAGTATTTAGGTGATAATTCCACTCGTCAATCCACACACCTACCAGAACCACTCAGTGCTCAGGAGGACTGTACTTTGCTTAACTGATTTGAAGCCTCTCGTATCATTCACTATACAGTGACCTTTTAAAAGTCTGTTCGCATAAACGATTCCTCACTAAAAACCCTCATGTTTCTCAGTTGATTAATCTATCATCTGCTTTGAAAAATACATTTTAAAAAATATAACAGTATGTTGATTTATTACAGTATTTCTTACTGTTCTAGTTTTTTTCGTTTAAAAAATACTTCTTTCTTCGATTACTCTTATTTAAACTAGAGAGATGTTTATTTTTCTTAAATTTGCATGTAAAAAGTGCGTTTTGAGCAGGTTTTTTTTCTACGTCTTAAATATCAAAGTCGCGTAATTAAAGGTCTACTTGATAAAATAACTTAATACTCTATCTTCTTTGTCTGAAGCTATATAGAAAGAAGATTGTCTAGTAGGTGTTTCCGTGAGAACAAGATGGTACGAAGAGATTTTTGAGCTAGCACTGTAGATATCGTTCGGAAGGGTCTTCTTAGACGGAATCGGTTTGCTGATGCAAGCACAAATCGTTCTCTCAGCGTGTTTCTCACGCCATGACCACCTTGCAAACCAAACGTGGCGAATGTGCCTTGTTTGGCATTCTAGATTGCTATGAAAATCTCAAGGTGTCGAGTGATGTCTAAATGGGGTATAGAGATGACTCCATTGCAGCTAAGAAGGCGGGGTGGATGAGATATTTGCTACGTGCAACATTGTCGCCTTAGATGCTAGAACAGAAGAAGATGTGGTTGTCAAAGTATGAGTGGTGGAGCAGGCCACGACGAAGCTGTTGAGGCTGTTTCCAGGGTTGAGCTTGGCAATGAGACTGGCTGTGCAAGAGTCTCGACTTCATCTGACATTCAGTTGGATGCCCAAAACATGTTGAGCAAGTCGCGATCGTTCTCCAAGATGCTTCGTGGCTAGCGTCGATATCGATATCGATCCTGAGATTCGGTCAGCGCTTACACGGATACCAATCATGCTGTTACCATGACATGTCAATTAGTGAAGCTCCACCACTCTACTCGAATAGAGTTTGTCAGTCAGAGTAGCTCTATTCTAGTATGACATCATTTCGTTCAAAAGTCACATGAATCAAACCTGTGCTATCCCCATACAGTCGCTTTCAATATTAGAGTTTAGTGTGATCGGTATGTCCCGCACAGACGGGCGCGTAAAGCTCGCTTGGCTAACGAGCAGTCTACGCCTTCACGTTTCACTCATCAAATGCAATAAGCAAACAAAACAGCGAGATTGTCCGGAGATTGCAAAAACAACACACACGGAAACTCCAAACGATTGCAGTTAGTCAAAGCAACACAGCCGTCAGCGTAGTAGTGGAAGAAGTAATGGATGCCAGACCCGGGATTCGAACTAGCCACGACATGTGATGGCTCCCAAAGCAGGTTAGAGAATCTTTGTATGCAAGACAGTGTGCTTTGGGAATGAACTTTGGTGTCTTTAGTTGATGCCTCTAGCTGCATCTCCATGTGCATCGCCAACTCCGAATCTACACTACACCTGACGCTACAAAGCTACGCAGGTAGCAGTACTCTATCATCCACGTGCAACGAGGGTTAGAAGTGCAGCGGGATCCTGTTGTTCCGTCGCCACCAGCGCACTCGTTTAGGTAATAGTAGTGCAGGATAGTGCAAGAAGAAAGACACGATTCGACGACAGAGTTTTGGCGTATTCGGTTTCCGTGTTAGTTGTTCAGCCACCTGGAACTCGGGCCCCTCGGCATGCTTCCAACTAGTCATTATTTCTTTGCTCCGCGGAGTGCAAGCTTCACGGGCTACCGGCATCTGCTGCCGACTATTGTTAGTTCAGTGCCGAGCGGCCTTCGCATTATCCTATCAAGGCAAAGCTACGTTACTTTTGCTGTCTCGAATTTCTTTTGCACCAACTTGGCATGCGGCACGTTTAATTGCCGTAGTGAGCGGGAGCCGGCCGCCAACTGGCCATGCCGAGCAGACCCTGACGGGCCAGTAGCTCGCTCCGTGTGTACACCTCAACCTACTGCCAGTGGGCATGCGTTCCTGGAAAAAGTCTCGCTACTGTGGGATAAAAGGGGCCGCGGCTAGCCGTCTCGCGACCGGCGGCAAAGAAGAGGTGCTGAGAGATGCATCTAGTACTGTTGACAGACTCGACACCGCCTGCTCTCCAATATGTACTATGTTCTTCCGCTTGTACGTATTCGTTCAACACATGTGCAGACGTGTCGTGGTAAGTGATGATCGTACAGGGAGTTGACTCGCTGCCACGATGACATATGCGTGCGATTTCGCCGCATCGGTACATCTTTGGTCTGGTTCGCGCGGCTGCATCGCCAAGCCACGATCTTAGCGCCATTCGATCCACCCGCCTGTCTCCAGAAGCAATTGCTCAACTCCTGACGGTTTATCTTGGCGGACCACATAGGACAAATGCCCCATCAGCCTCGCAAGACACTCTGAATCATGTTTCCATTGCGCCTCAGCATTCAGAATACTGCCGTGTCCTCGGCATCGTAGCCCACTCTGATCAAAGCAGTATTCGCGGCTCTCTGCGATAGCAACATCTCATCTGAGAGCTTCCGTTGCGGCGCTCGGCAGCAAAAGCATGAAAGGGCTCGTCCCGTCCCGTACTACCCACAGCCACATGCAAGCCCTGTCCCGGCATGTGCCTTGTAGCATTCCGCATTCCGACCAGCCAACTAGAGGGGAGCACGCCATCTACAGGCTATGATGCACATGTCCGATAGTGCTCGGTCCGATTTCAGTACTGTGTGAATTTGGCATGGTGCAAAACCGGCAAGATCTTCATGCTACATCGTTGACTCCAACGCTAATCGAGGGGGACATGCGCAAGAGCTACGCAATGAGTGGTGCACCGTGTAATCGCGAGGGGCGGGAGAGCAAGGGTCCGAAGATCTTCATGTCAGTGCTCTAGTTTTTATCCATAAAGAGTACTAGGCGATGAGTTGTGCAGCTGAGTTACCAAAGGTTCTGCATACTAACTTGTGTTAGTGCTAATAATTTCAGCCTCTGTGAAGATCCTAATGTCTATGGAATCTGGTCCCGTAGGATAGGATACTCTCTGAAGACATCAAACACAGCATCGTGAATGTCAGCATGAAGCTCTGATGAACTTCATGATCACAAAGCCACATATTTCAAATCTATGTCCATGCCATGTACTGCTTCTGCAAAGAGTAGACCATATAGAAATTTCCTTTGGGTTCAATCAAGCGCGACACACGTGGAGTAAGCTACGAAGAACAAACGTTAATACCAGCCAGCCACGGTGCTGACGGCGCTATGCACATGGCGATTTGGCACCTATCACCAGTAAAACTGCCTCGCCGACGACCAAAAAATTGCCATGATCGACATCTCAACAGATGCATGTGGGAGATCGACATGCCTAGTGGCATTTGTCCTTGGACATCATGGTAAACTACAGCGAGTGTCTATACTGACACTTGAACAGCATCAGGTGTATAAAAGCCCTCCAGTCCTCGACGGAATCAACTCATCATCCAGCTCCATCTACAATCCTCACTACTACCTTCTCATCACTCAATCCAAGCTCAACAACAAAAGCTTCTTTTACAACCGCAAAAATGGTCTCCATCCGCAACATCTTCACTGCCGCTCTGGCTCTCGCTGCTCCCATCTCTGCGGCTATTACTCCTGCCCAGATGGTCGACAACATCAAGATGGTCACCGCCAAGAGCCAGGCTCTCCAGGCACCTGCCCAGTCCATCACCATCGTCAATGGACCTCTCATCGTCATTGGCCAGGGACCCTTCCCCCAGATCATTGCTGGTTTCACCGACATCGTCACCACTGTCACTGTTGCCATCGCTCAGATGGACGGCTCTCAGCCCGTCAAGGCTGGTGCTCAGGCTGACGCCATCTTCGATGCATTCCGCGAAGTGAGTACAAAATCCTCCCCTCACAGTAAACAAAAAAAACTAACAAAGAAAAAACAGTTCGTCCGCGTCCACCAGGCTCTCCTGAACATCCTCATCGGCAAGGCTGGCCTCTTCACCACCGTCCCCTTCATCGGCCAGCCTGTTGCTGCTGTCCTCAGGCAGATCGAGAGCGTCGTCGACGTAAGTGAAACCCGCCCACCTCGCCCATATCTCCACTTGGAAGCTCGTAAGAAGTCTACTAACTATACCGTTCCAGACCATCGCTTTCGCCATCATCGACCTTGTTCAGTCTCGTGCTGCCGATCTCCAAAGGGAGGCCAACAGCCTCGGCGCCACCCTCGATGTCTGCATCAACTCTTACCAGGGTCTTTAAATCTCTTCCAACTAACAAGCCTGGTCCCTTCTCCCTTTCAACCAACAAGACCATCTAAAAGGGGGGGGGGGGGGAGATGGGATTCTACTTGGCAACTAGCAATGAAGATAACTGTTCTGGAAGATACATGAATGATGGATAGTGGTTCAACGACCACCATGCTGTGATGGGAAAATAAAGGGGGCAGTTTTCCTCAGCAGGAACTGTTTCCTTTGGTGCGACTTTCTTTTCTTCTGCTGTAATCCATTGTCTATAAATGGGCCGCTCTTTTCTGTTAATACTTCTTATTTTTTTTATGGAGAGAATAAATATATGTGGTTACGAGAACTGTCTGCTTTTTTTCTCTTCTTTGCATTGCTCCAAGTGGTGAATTTGACACTAATGACAGCTTCGGAATTTTTTTTACTTGCTGGGCGAGTAGCTCTTCAAAAACAGACGGTACAACTCTAAAAAAAAGTCTTCTTCATGATACTAACCTCTTTCTCTAGGCAGGTCCAATCGAGCACTGCCACTAATTCAAGGACCAATTCCTCATCACTTCAAGTTTTTTGAAGACAAACAGTGCCTAAGCTCCGAATTCTACATCCTCCAATCCCCATCTAAACAACCGACTTCGCATACTCATCACAAACCTCTGTCAGCCTCCTCCTCGTCCCAGGCTCCATGACACTATGCCCAGCATCATCAATAAAAAACAGCCGACTCTCTGGCCACTGCTTATGCAACTCCCACGCCGTAATCGGTGGACAAACAACATCGTACCTGCCCTGTACAATCGTCGTCGGAATGCCCCTAACCCTATCCACACTCTCTTTCCTGAGCAACTGCCCATCCTCCAACCACGCCTTGTTTGTAAAATAATGAATCTCAATCCGCGCATGCGCAAGCAGATACTCTGGCTCCTCTAGCTTCTTCAGCGCATGCGGATCGGGGTATAGAGTGCTTATGGAGATCTCCCAGGTATTCCAGGCTGCGGCTGCAGGGTGTGAGATTGCAGGGTCAGAAGACATGAGGCGTTTGTGGTAATTAGCAATATGATCTGCTCGTTCTTCCTCAGGCAGGAAGTTGATAAAATCATCCCAGCGGTCCGGGAACAACATGCTAGCGCCGCCTGGATGGTTCGTCCACCTAAGCTCGAGATCGCGGACGGTGAAGATGCCGCGGAGGACGAGGCTGCCGACGCTTTGAGGGTGGGTTTGGGCGTAGGCGAGGGCAAGGGTGGAGCCCCAGGAGCCGCCGAAGACCATGTGCCATTTGGGGATGGAGAGGTGCTGGCGGAGGGCTTCGATGTCTGCGACAAGGTCCCAGGTTGTGTTGGCGGTTGTGCTGGCGTTGGGGCGCGATTGCCCGCAGCCGCGTTGGTCGAGGAGGATCACGTGGTATTCGGATGGGTTGAAGAAGACTGTGTTGGTTTTGGAGCAGTTTCCGCCGGGGCCGCCATGGAGGTAGATTACTGATTGTGGTTAGAATACAGATATTTCGGGGAGATTTATCATCACACATACCAGGTTTTCCATCTTTCTTGCCGTACTGTTGATAGTAGAGCTCGTGGACGTCGTCGACACGCAGCCAATCAACGTTCCAAGCATCTTCGTGCTGATAGCTGTGTATTTCGGGAGCCTGAGACATGGTGATTGATATGGTATTTTTTTTGAAATTGGGCGCACGGGTTTTTGCTCTCTGATGGTTGTCGCTTGAGAATAACCAGGCAGTTGCGATGAGGAGTCAGAAAAGGACACTACCCCGCTTACAGCATAGTGACCCCCACTATGTCAAGAGCACCTTCCTAGACAGGTCCAGGCACACTACGAAAATAGAATACATCAAGAAAGTGAGATCATCACATTAATATATGAGGGTTGCTATGTGCGTTATTATGTACAACAAGAGTATTCTGAGTGAGCATAAACTCAGAACTTGAATCCACCAGTCCTTGTGCTGAACAAGCCATCAGGGTCGACACTCCTCTGCAATGCCTTGAACTTGTTATAGTCCCGATAGCTTTGTAGAACAGGCTGGTCAAACATAGCATCGTTCAAGAAGAGCGGCAGGTACGTATCCAGGGGCATGCCTGCTTCTGCCATCCACTGTGGCACGACCTCGTCTAGCCAACTTGTAACCTCTCTGGCAATATTAAAAGCAGTTTCGTCGTCTGATGGCAAGTTCCAGGCTGCTTGGTAGATAAGAACTATGCGATCAGGATCAGAAGCACCGAGACCCATAGCGTTGCCGCCTTTGGCCGCTGATTTCTTGCCAATTACAGACGGAAGAGGCTGGAAGTCAACGCTAAACTGAATACTACGGACGACAGGAGGTGTATTCAGAAAGAGGGCAGCGGTTTGGGCGAGCTTTTCACTGATCTCCTTGTACATTTGTGGACGAGAGGCGATGTATGGGATGGTTGCAGTCTGTTGTATGATTAGATTCCCGCAAAACAGAATGAAGGATGAATACTCACGCGGAAGAAAGAACGAGAATTCAAGAGGCGAAGCGGTTCACCATTGGCCCTTAGCTACATGTAATTAGTACGTGACTGTAATAGTGGCACAGATGTTCAAACTTACCAGCTGAGAGTACTTCTGCCTCTTCGGTAGACAAGCCAGATTGAGGATGTTGAAGAACTGGGCGAAAGGACCGGACGTAGGCGGCGTAGGGCCGTCATAAAAATAGTATATGAGCTTTGACCTTGTGCCAACGCCAAGTACCAGATCCGTAAAGATGATGGCAGCCTTGGGATCTTCGGCACCATGACCAACGAATTCATGTAGCGCAGCATAGAGCTCGTCTGCCTTGGTCTCGTCGTATGCACAGGATCCGCCCCATACATCGTCTATGCGGTGAACTCTGGCTTTGAATTGTGTAACAATGCCGAATTGGTTGCTGCTACCACGCATGGCCTGCGCAAGGTCTGGATGTCTTGCGGCATTCACATTTACGATAGAGCCATTAGCCATGACGGTCTCCCATTCAATAATGTTCTGGCAATTGTCAGCATGATGTCTAACTAGCGTGGGTCGGCGACTGACATCGGCAGCAAGGCCTTCTTGGGCACTGAGAAAGGAGAGACCTCCCCCTAACAACAGCCCGCCAACACCAACAAGTCCTAGACTGAGTAAGCGAATATCTTGCCAAGGCGCGTATATGACCATACCAAGTCTTCCACCAGCAATAGCTACCCCGCTTTGTTCGAGATCACCTATCACGTCATTCCACTCTCCTCCGGGACGGACATAGGCTACATCCTCCTGGGCGTCGTAGCTTGCTCCAGTCAAGTCGGTCATTGTGATGAGGACACCATCTTGGACAGTAGAGTGATCTTTGTTAGGGTCATGACCACCACTGCGAGTAGCAAAGCGGACTGTCGGGTACTTGTTCAAGATTTTGATGACAATAGAAACATCCTGAGCAGAGCTTGGTTGTACAATACATGCTGGTTTGACTTCCCAAAGATTAGTAGCCCAGTACTGTTGTGTCTCATATTGGTATTCCACTGAGAGAAGCCCTGGACTCAGGGTTTTGCCGGGTAGAGAGTTGGCTATCTCATTGCAGGCCTGAGTAGTTGCGTCTGAGGGGAGACCGTAAGCGACATGGGCACCCAGTAGCAACGCACTGACTAGGGATGTGAGGCCCGCCATTGTGGACAAATTCAGAAGGGCTAAAATAGGGGAAAGCTAAAATGAGAAGCAAGCCTTGCTGTCTCTGTGCAAAGCCAGAGGAAACTGTCAAATATATACAGGGAAGTCGTATAACATCGGTTCCAAGTCTTGACATTGGGCCGAGAAGGGGCTGCCAAAATCGGTCTCAATCTAGAAAAGTCGTATAACATCGATTCCAAGTCTCGGCATTATGCCGAGAAACGGCTGTCAAAATCGGTCTCAATCTAGAAAAATAACATGATCTCAAGAGAACTGAGAATTCTGTGGCTTGAATTCGACACACGTGTGTATTCTGAAAAGTGGAAACGTCCATACCAAACACAGGACTACAGGGCAGCTTTGAGGAAAGATCAGCAACAAAGTCCGAGAGAGTTGCCGGAAGCGAACTAGAAAGTGGAGAAGACTGGATGCAAGTCGTCTCAATATCTCTATTGCGAGCTGAAACTGGAATTTAGCCTAGCTGTTGCAGTCTAAAATGCCAATAGAGATGACGAGGAGGCTGAATTGAGGCGTGCGTGGCAATCTAGACAGGCATGGAAACGTCTGGGTCAACGGACAAAAGCGACCGAAGGCCCCACCATGACTGCGATCTGGCGGTCGATTCGAGTTTTCTGGCCGAGGCCAAGTCAGTGGCTATCGTGGAAGACGTGACTTGACATGATTAGAATAGACAAGACGGGCACACTGGTGGCTAGAGACGATTAGTGACATGACTTGTGTGCAACAAGTGTGTTCGCAAGTGTGTTCGGGAGTGGCTGAAGATTAATGTCGGGAGACAATGGCATGGTTGGGGATAACCGGCTGTCGGGCACTATATACGGACATGAATACGAGTAGGAGTGGCATCTAGGTCGTTTGCAAGCGGGTACAGCAGGACGGGAACCAGGGTCTCGGGTGAAGCACGGCCCGGACGCGGTAGCTCGGTTGCTCCTTCTAGAACCCAGCACGCAGGGTAAACAAACATTGGACGAGACCAAGCCGCCGCAACGTCGCGTCCACGTCCACGCCAACGTCTGACGTAGACAACGGAACGCCGCCATGGAGTCATATAACCTCAAGACTGCATCGACATACATCAACAACCTGCTGCTGTCGCGGGGGTTGTTGCGCAATGGCAAGCCCATTGAGTTCGCCCACCCGTCCAGGGGAGAGGGTGGGAAGGAAGCTACTATGGCCCAGATTATCAATTTGATCCACGACCTGATCCTAAAGCGAGACGTATGTTGGCCTGGAGCTCTTCTGAGTTGCATTTCTAATAGATACACAGCGCGACCAAGAATATCGCGAGTCCGTCGCCGAGACGCTGCGAAATCTGCGCGCGGATGCGACGCGCCAGACAGCCGCCCTCGAGAAGCAATATACACGCAATGACGACCTGTCGCGGCAACTCTCCCTTGCCCAGGCCCAGGAACAGTCGGCACGCAAGGCTCTACACACGGCAGAATCGTCTGCACGAAAGTTGCGAGCAGAGATGCAGCGACTCAAAACGACCGTGGACCAAATACGCACAACTTGCACAAACGATGTCCGGAAGCGCGACAGGGAGATTGTAAGACTAAAGAGCCATTTGACAAGCCAACAGAGGGGCAACAAGACAGGTCTTGTTGGTGCGAGCATCACAATCAACCCAGGCACCATGGGCTTGGGTGGGGCTACAAGCAGCGTGCGCGAGGATGCGCCCAATGTCGACGACCCCGAATATAGTCTGAAACAGGAGACGACTGAGTTTTTGACACACTTGAGTCAAAGCCTGAGCGACGAGAACGACAGTCTTATTGGGCTTGTACGAAGCACACTCCTGACGCTGAAGGAGCTGCAGGGCATGTCGGAACAAAACGCAAGAGCCGACTCGGAAGAGGGATCTGACTTTGGCGAAAATGACGATGACGATGAGGGTACACGACAGGGCATGTTGCACACGCTACCCACCAACTATGAAGCCTTGGCAGATGACATGGATACGGTGCTGGACAATCTGAAGAACTTGCTCACGAATCCAAATTTTGTGTCAGTGGAAGAGGTGGAGCTGCGCGAAGAGGAGATTCACAGACTACGCGCAGGCTGGGAAAAGATGGAAGCCCGGTTGCGCGAGTCCTTTATGCTCATGGACTCTTGGAGGAAGCGCATGACCAATGGTGATACCATCGATCTCGAGGAGCTTAGAATGGGCCTAGGATTTGGACAGGGGCTCGACACATCTGACAGGCAAGGCATCTCCATTATTGAGGAGGAAGAAGAGGACGAGGACGAAGATGAGGATGAAGCCGCCAGTTCAGTCTTCGACGAGGAAGTAGATGATACAGATGTCCCGCAAGAACACGAGGACGAGCAAAGCGAAGTCGAGCATCGCCCTTCACCGGAGGTAGATGACATGGCGCCAAAGAAGAACAGCGCCGACATGTTCAAGATCAAGCTGCAACCCACTCCAGCAGCGCTACGAGAGTCCAATGGTAACAAGTCGCTGAGCCGATCGCCGCGAAAAGTTGCCTTTTCACCATCTATCCCCAACACGCCATGTCAGGTGGAAGATGAGAATGCAGAGGAGTCTGGGATTGACCTAGTAGGTGCGGAGAAGCCCAGTCGCTCCAGCTCGGCAATCAAGCCACCTACTTCTGAAGAACGGGCGTCAAGGCGGAAAAGTCGAGATGATCGCACACCCCGAAGCGTACGTAATGACAGGCTGACGAACCATATGATGAATATGGGCAGCATAGTCTTCTTTCCTTGTCGCCTTGTCTTTTGTCATGCAGCCGCTGAGCAGCGCTTGTTTAATCAGACCATGCATCTAACAATTTTGAGCAGACTAGGAAACGCCTATCGAGTCCACGGGCGCACCCTGAGGAGCCGTCACCGAAGCTAACTGTACAAGACAAACTGCGAGACGCCTCGGAAGCGGCCGCTGCAGCCGAAGTCGAGAAGGCTGCCAGCCCCACCAAGAAGACCGATGGCAACGGCGAAATGATCAATGAGGATACGGGCAAGCGCGCACCTCGGTCTGCAACCAAGTCCAGGGTTGGTGGTCGACCGCGAAGAAGAAAAAGCACTCTGACGGCAGACGAGCTGGCTAATCTTTTGGGTTGCTGAGTGAGTAGAAAAATTGTTGTGTACTACTATCATCTTCATTATTTTTTTTAATTGCAGCGGAGCAGACGGCTGCCTGAATCTGGCACTGCTATATTATGGCCAAAGTGGTCGCATGTCACGATGCAATCATTATCTTGAGCATGTTGAGGGACTAGTAGGCGGGATGGCTGGTATGCATGACTACTGTTCCTTCTCATTGGTGCACTGTCACCAACGGTGCACCTGGGGGTTCACGCACCGAGAGCGGGCGCGTATGTACGCCTGTATGCACGCCTGGGCCATGTTGGCCGCTGTCGAGTCTAATATCGCTAGAAGACTGCGGGCCTAAAAGATTCGGTCGGTCATGTATATGTAATATGTACGCAAGACATCAGAGTCAAGAAAGAGATGGCGGCAGGACCTAGATGACGGCATCGAGAGTAGAGAAAAGGGGGCTTGGGTGGTACGAGGGCGACACGACATGCTGCCTTGTTGTTGCACCTCATTGGCAGTATCCAAATTGCGAGGCTTTCCAGACTTTGTGCCTTTGCGTACCTGATATTGAAAGTGGTGCCCCACCACATGGCCTACGTCCCCCTGTAGGTTATTCTCCCGACATGTCTGTTTACCGAAGCCTATGGGGCCGCGTGCGCACAAAGGCTGCATGTTATGACGATATGCCGGGGATTAAGGCCTCAGGCGTGACCACGAAAGTGGCTTAGGATGTAGTTGGGCCAAGTTGGTGATGGGCAGTTGTGGTTGGATGGGACGATAAGCCACTAAAGATTATTAGCCGCCCATGTTCCCAATTGGGGATATTTGGTGATGAGCCGGAGATGGTGAAGGCAATACAATTGGACAAGGCGGGGCATATGGGCTGATAATGTCTGTAAATAGGTCTGTATGCGGCAGAGGGGAGAAGCTGCAGGTTGACCAAGGCAAAATCCTGGGAAGCAAATTTCTCTGCATCCGTCGTCTGCTCAGTTCCCCGTCCATCATGCAGTGTGAAGAGAAACTTATCTGCAGGCCGCACATCCCGACATCACATGGCAGTTGCATCGTCGCTGCTGATTGGCCGTATGTTTTCATCCCAAGTCCGTGCGCTGCGTGACGACCCACCCGTGTATTCCCCGCCCATGTTGGCCATTCAGCGCACAGAACAAAGACGCCCGGCTACACACATCAAAGGCATCCACCACTCCCACAACACCATCAAGCGCTCGCCGTACATTCGATAGACTGCTCTCCACACCCGCTACCGGCCTACACCCTGCCCAGATGGCGTGGCTACACTGCGCAGTCAATCAATCGCTACCGCATCCACCCATGCCTGACCCGTACGCGGCCTAGTCCAATGTCCGCCGGTCAGCCCCTCGTCAACGCCCAATTGTCGCCCACCATCTGTGTGATGCATCTTCTATACATAAGTAGGCCTGGAGCCGCTCCCATCTCGTCTTTTTTTCTTCAGCAAGTGTGTCAAGTTCAGAGTTGTGGTGTTCGTTTTTTGTCTATTCTTTTTTACCCCTCCCCCTTCTTCCTTCTACCTACTCTCCTCAGGCCTGGTGCCATCTAATCACTACCCTACCGACAACCCTTTTTACCCATTTCCCCATTTTTGCAATAATTCAATTCTTTGTGGCCGGTCCACTCCAACGTAATACTCAGCTCTACTTGCTCGAAACGAACTTCCAAATCACACCGACAACACCATCTCGCAACCCTTAGCGAGACTCTCGACATACACACAGCCTCCTTAGCAATCTTGACGTCTACCCATTAGCTTGGTATCGGACGAATCGAAAGAAAAAAAAATTACATCATAATACAAATTTTCTACACAGAAAGAAAGAGATAACATCACAATGGCCGCTATCCAGCTCAACTTCACTCTCCGCACTTCCGCAAACTGCAAGACC